ATGACGTATAGGTTGGAGCTTGTGGAGAACATAAGAGAGTCAAGTGAGAAATTCATCTTGCAAGGTAACAACGAGAAGCTTCCGGTGACGGGAGAAGGTGACGTGATGCTTTATAGTCCTTATGATGGAATGAGACTTAAGAATGTTTTGTTGGTTGAGGACTTGAAGGTAAATCTAATTAGCCAATCACAGCTTGATGATATGGCGTGCAAGGTGTTTTATGATGACGGTAAGGTTACGGTGTTTGGTTCTTTATGGGAGAAGTATGCGGACGGCTACTTCAACGACGGTTTCTACGAGATGAGCTTGATTGCGTGAAATGACATAGATGAGGTATATGATGACCATGAGTTTTACGAGGTAAAAGATGAGGTGAAGTCATTCATTGAGGTTGGTGAGGTTGATACCAGGGGAAATGTGGTATCGAGTGCGACTTCTTGTGAGAAGACCGACTCGCCCATCATGAAGGAGGATGTGCGCGTGAAGGAAGCGGTAAAGCCGAACAAGAAGACTTGCGTCAACACCGAAGCGGCAACAATCACAATTGAAGATGAGGCTGCAAGTGTGGAGCGTGATGACACTAAAGCTGCAAAAGGACTAGGCGTGGTGAAAGGCATGAAGGCGAAAGCAACTGCAAAAGTGCGGCCAAGGAGGAGTGCTAGGCTGGAGAGTCTCTATCGCGGATTCGACATCAAGGCGATCGATTTCAAACCACGGAAGCAGAGGTACAAATTGCACGAACTTCAGGGGAGTATGAATCTGAATTAGATATCATGAGGGCTGCAAAGGAGCAGGGGAGTGAAGGTGTGGTTCACGAAACCACAGGGGAGGTTGTTGGAGTGGTTTCTATGAACCACACTAACGACGGCGAGAAATACGGACCTACGGCGACTTATGGCGGTGACGTGTGGAAGAAGCGAGAAGGAATTACTAAGAAGCGTCTAAGATTACTTGGCGTGTGGTCTACGCTGAGGGGAAAGGAGTAGAAACGTAAGGAAGAAATGGGAACGTAAGGAAGTTACGGGGGAATAGAGATGGGAAAGTGAAGGAATTGGTTTGACGGGGTAGGAGTTTGGGTTGAAACGATGGCGTGGTTCACAAGTTTCTGAAATTCGGACTTCGGGAGTGTTCGACGAAGGAGTCGTGGTTGCGTGTGCGACGCGACGTGAAACTTGGAGTGTGGGGTAAGTTTGGTTACAAGGGAGGTTGCTTGTGGAACACGTTTTTGGTTCAGTTACGTGGGTGCATTGGGATGAGTATAAGTTAGTTGTACCAGTCAGTTGAAAGATACACTTGGAAGTTAGTTGTACCAGTCAGTCTTTGCTTGAAGGTGCAAGACAAGCACTGGTGAGATTGACAACTTAGTGAAACGTTCTCAGAATTAATTGCTGCGCATATCGCTGGAATCGTGAGAACGAGGAGAACGTCATCGACAATAGCAAGCAGACTTTTGTCGATTGAGGCGTCAACGATCCTGACAGATTCCCATCTTCGTCGAAGCGCTGAATCTGATGCTACTCCCAAAAGGATATTTTTCCTGCTAATATCACCTGCTTCATGCAATTGGACTTTTTGCACCTGCGTTTACTGCTCTAGTACCGATGTTGCTGCTGTTGTTGTATGAAACTCCCGCATCATAGCATATTAGTTTTCAGTCTCCCAAGCGATTTGATAGAAGCATCATGGCGTCTTCGCGCGGCGCGGCTGTGTCACGGCGTTCTAGCCTCGTGCTCGCTGCATTGGCTGCTCTCATGCTCTCAGGTGTGCGCTCATGCTATCAGATGATGCACACTCAGCTATGCTCTCATGTGCTCTCAGCTAGCTCTTATATCCTCTCAGCTCTCAGCTATGCTCTCATATGCTCTCAGCTAGCTCTTATATGCTCTCAGCTCCCAGCTATGCTCTCATATGCTCCCAACTATGCTCTCATATGCTCTCAACTAGCTCTTATATGCTCTCAGCTCCCAGCTATGCTCTCACATGCTCTCAGCTAGCTCTTATATGCTCTCAGCTCTCAGCTATGCTCTCATATGCTCTCAGCTAGCTCTTATATGCTCTCAGCTCTCAGCTATGCTCTCATATGCTCTCAGCTAGCTCTTATATGCTCTCAGCTCTCAGCTATGCTCTCATATGCTCTCAGCTAGCTCTTATATGCTCTCAGCTCCCAGCTATGCTCTCATATGCTCCCAGCTATGCTCTCATATGCTCTCAGCTAGCTCTTATATGCTCTCAGCTCCCAGCTATGCTCTCATATGCTCTCAGCTAGCTCTTATATGCTCTCAGCTCTCAGCTATGCTCTCATATGCTCTCAGCTAGCTCTTATATGCTCTCAGCTCTCAGCTATGCTCTCATATGCTCTCAGCTAGCTCTTATATGCTCTCCGCTCCCAGCTATGCTCTCATATGCTCCCAGCTATGCTCTCATATGCTCTCAGCTAGCTCTTATATGCTCTCAGCTCCCAGCTATACTCTCATATGCTCTCAGCTAGCTCTTATATGCTCTTAGCTCTCAGCTATGCTCTCATATGCTCTCAGCTAGCTCTTATATGCTCTCAGCTCTCAGCTATGCTCTCATATGCGCTCAGCTAGCTCTTATATGCTCTCAGCTCTCAGCTATGCTCTCATATGCTCTCAGCTAGCTCTTATATGCTCTCAGCTCTTAGCTATGCTCTCATATGCTCTCAGCTAGCTCTTATATGCTCTCAGCTGTCGCTGCCATGCTCTCTGCTCTCAGCCATGCTCTTAGCTCTTAGCCATGCTCTCGACAGCTGCTGCCTTTCGTCCGTCAGCGAGTAATAACCCACTGCTTCCATCATCCTCCTCCCGTCCTTGGGCCGCCTTCCTTCCCTTCTCATTTCTCCCTCTCCTTCCCCCCCCCCCCCCCCCCCCTCCTCCCCCTCCCACATTTCTGCCCCACCCGCTCACAGCATGTGTGACCAAGGCTGCTGCCTTCTTCCCCAGCATCTGCGCAGATTACTGCTATAGGCGTGAGCTGCTCTTTTGACCTCACTTCCAGCCTTTTTCATCTCGAACTCCTTCCTTTTCTCTACCTCCCTCCTCTCCCCCCCCCACCACTCTCCATCCAACCCGCCGCCCCTCCTGTCCCTTTCCCCATCCGCTCTCAGCATGTGCGCCCAGGGTGCATCTTCTTTGCCTTCTCACCCCAATCCTCCAACCTCTCTCCTCTTCGCCTGACCCCTTCCCTTCTCCCCCTCCCGCTCTCAGCATGTGCCATCACAAAAATCCTGCATCCGGAAAACCGATGAAAAAAGTTGCTTTGAAGTTTTGTCGAATGATTCTTGAACGACGTTTTTTGAACGCTTTTTTGAGAAAGTATAGGTTGCTTTCCAAATGCTTTCTCGAACGCTTTTCAAATGCTTCTCCAATGCTTTTCTGTTCAAACCTGCCAGGTGAACACCTTCGGAAGAAGTTTGGTACAAGTTTCCGCAGAGCAATTTCGAAGATCGGATCTCATTGCAATGTACTCTTTATGGAATTTCGGGCTCATTAAAATAAGCTTATGTAGGAGACTTGCACGACCTTATATGTAATTTAAAACTATGTTAAGTTGCCTCAATCTTGCATTCAAAATGAACAGTACAGAAGCTTTGGTAAAAGCTGATAATTTCACCCTAAAAACACACATAAAACAGCATCCTAAACCCTCTGTGCCTAGTCAGTTAGGTTGAGCTGCATCATCCTACGACCTGCTTAGCATGCTCCAGTACACTATGTCTTCCACCGAACCCCATCTCTGGTGCTCTAGGTCGAGCGTGCCCCTGCGTCCACTGCTTCATTGCATGCTCTGCCCTCTCATGCGTCTGCTGCTCCGCCCCTGGCACTCCCCAGTCATGCCTTTTAATGCTGCTCGCTCCAGTCATGCCTAACCTACTACCCCCCTTGTGCACTCCCCTCTATCTGCTCGTGCCTTTTCTGCTGCCCCCCCAACTCTCTCAACTCATGCCTTTTCTGCTGCACCCTCTTGCACTATCTGGTTGCCTTGCTGGTTGCCCACCCTTGGACACTCCTCACATTGTCTCTACTGCTGCCCCCCTTGCTGACTCCACGCTTTTGCCGCCCGTGCTACCCCCCATGCTGACTCTACTTTCTTGCTTGGCGTGCTGCCCCCCTTGCTGTCTCCACCAATGCGTCTACCTCCGTTTTGATGTCTCCTCGCAAGTGTGTGATGCCTATCTTGCTGCCCCCCCTTGTAAACTCCACTCATGCCTCATCTGCTGCCCCCCTTGTTTAGTCGCCCCATCGCTTGACCCTCTTGCCTCCCCGGCGTTTGCCACTCTTGTGTCTTTTGCCCCTCCTTCGCTCCTGGCCCCCCCCCTTCTCATCCTCATCCTCATCCTCTTCCTCCTCTTCCACTTCTTCCTCCTCTTCCTCTTCCCTCCTGCTTCCCTTGCCTCTGCCTCTTTTGTGCTTTCTGCCCTTCCTCCTCTCCTGCCCCCTATGATTTTCATCCTCCTGCTCCCCCTCCTCCTCCTCCTCATCCTCTTCCTCTTCCCCCCTGCTTCCTCTGATTTTCCCTCTCTTCTGCCTTCTGCCCTTCCTAAGCTCCCGCCCCCCCCGTTCCACATCCTCCTCCTCCTCTTCCTCATCCTCATCCTCTTCCTCCTCTTCCACTTCTTCCTCCTCTTCCTCTTCCCTCTTGCTTCCCTTGCCTCTGCCTCTTTTGTGCTTTCTGCCCTTCCTCCTCTCCTGCCCCCTATGATTTTCATCCTCCTGCTCCCCCTCCTCCTCCTCCCCACCCTCTTCCTCTTCCCCCCTGCCTCCCCTGAGTTTCCCTCTCTTCTGCCTTCTGCCCTTCCTAATCTCCCGCCCCCCCCGTTTCACATCCTCCTCCTCTTCCTCCTCCTCATCCTCTTGCTCATCCCTCTTGCCTCCCCTGCTTTTGCATCTCTTGTGCCTTTTGCTCTTCCTCCGCTCCTGCCCCCACTGTTCCTCCTCCTCCTCATCCTCCTCCTCCTCCTCCTCCTCCTCCTCCTCCTCCTCCTACTCCTCCTCCTCCTCCTCCTCCTCCTCGTCCTCCTCCTCCTCCTGATCCTCGTCATCCTCCTCGTCATCCGTCTTCAAGTCCTCCGCGTCGTACACCTCCCGCTCTTCCTCCTTCAAGTCCTTCTCCTCGTCAGGCGCCGCCGTCCCCTTGAACGCCTCAAATCCTGACTCGTGAACATACAGGCCACGGTCGCCCCACTTGAAGCCCTGCACGACTGTGTTGTACACGGGGGTGTGGCGTGTGAAGTGGTCCTTGATAATCCACCGCACATTTCGGTGCAAACCCGTCATCCACTCGGTGTTCTTCCAGTGGGAGTTCGAGACGTTCCAGTCGGTCTTCTTAACCTTTGCCAAGCCCTGGTCAATCTGAAAAAGCGTAGCAAAGTATGAGAAAGAGGGGAAATAGAGACATATGTGGACACTCGCGTGTAGAGTTCACGGGCTGCGCGAATAGCCCCACATTCCAGTCTGGCGGGCAAGAATTGCAAGCAAAGCTAGAGCGAACTGACGGGAGAGCAATAATGCCTTACCACCATGATTGACCAGGCAATGTGGTAGGCTTTGACGCACACCCGGCGCCCGACACAGAGATTCCGAAATGCTTCCCGGACCGCATCTACAAACCGGCCGTTGGCAAACGGGAGCCCGTCTCTGCTGTTTCCCCACGAGCTGACCCGCTGATTCCCTCCTGCGCGCACGCAGGACAAGGCGGGGACGAAGATCATGCACGACATGGTTAGGGGCTGTCCAAAGGGTATGGACGAAGTGGAGGGCGGTATAGAACGAATGGAGGGTTGGCTGGAGGGCAGTAGAGCAGGGAAGGGCGGGAGAGAAGGGGAGGGCAGGGGAGAGGGGGAGGGCAGGAGAGACATGGAGGGCGGGAGAGAAGGGGAGGGCTGAAGATAAATGGAGGGAGGGAGAGAACGGGATGGCGGGAGGGAAGGGGAGAGCTGTAGATTAAAGGGGGGGCGGGAGAAGGGGAGAGTGGGAGAAGAACCAACGTTAAGCTGTCGTGCGGATGTGACTGCACATGCGCTACAAGCCTGGGCAAGGAGAGCAGGTATGTAGTTGCGTGCCACAGTGGGGATGCATTAGGGTAAGTTGTTCATCATCGTCACGAGGGGTGCACGAGCAGAAGAAATGAATGGTGAAGTAAAACAAAAACGCGCGTACTCACTCGGTTGGTATTTTCTCCACATCTTCTTCTTCTTCTTGGTGCCCATCCAGGGATCGGCTGCACGCAGGCCTTGCACATTCTTGCCGAAAGTTACAAGCACTCTGCGCTTGAGGTGGAAGCCACGATCGTTCTTCCATGACGTCCAAGCGCATTTGAAGCCGTCGACGATGTTTTTGTCTTCCATAGCCTCTCGCAGCTGCATCAGCTTAATTATGTGCGTCTCGCTGATAACCTGATACAAAACCTGAAGGCGCTGTTCGAGCGTTGGGTAGAAGTCTATGGCATCGTCTGGCCATTCTAGGCACATCCGGTCCCGCCCCACGGCAAAATGAACCTATGACGGACGGGTGGATTGGAAACGTAAAATTGAGTGATGCCTCCGAATGAAGGGCGGAATTCAGAGGTTGAGAGAGAGGGCTGTTGCCATCACTGCGCCGCATGGCTCGCATACCAACAACAGCACCATGAACATGGGCTCTGGAAGAGGTGGTGGAGGGATGGGAGAGAGGGTGCAGGGAGAGGAAGGATAGCTGCTATGGTGAGCGATCACTCCGCCGCATGACACCCACCCCACCACCAGCACCATGAACAGGAGCTCTGGTTGAGGTAGGGGAGCGATGGTAGAGTGAGAGGGGAGAGAGGGGGGATAAAATAGTCAGAGCGAAAGACGGGAGAGTAGGCAGAGTGAGAGGGCACCGTACGCCCAGCGCGAGGGTTCATGTTCTCCTCGTACGAGGAGTCTCAACTTCCACTGCAGCCACCCCCCTGCACGCTACGCCGCATGCCACACGCGTGACCAGCAGCACCTTTTACAGTGGCTCTGGACGAGGAGGGAGAGGGACGGGATAGAGAGGGGAGGGAGGAGCGGCGGACAGAAAGGGGGCCGCGTGGGATTGACGGATACGGCTTCCTCTATTCCCTCCGCCGCATGACACCCACACCACCCCCAGCACCATGAACAGGGGCTCTCGCAGAGGGAGGGGAGGGATGGGAGAGAGAGGGGAGTGAGATGAAGGATGACTGCTATGCTTAGCTATCCCTCCGCCGCATGACATGTATTCCACAACCACACCCAGCACCATGAACATGGGCTCTCGCAGAGGGAGGGGAGGGATGGGAGAGAGAGGGGAGTGAGATGAAGGATGACTGCTATGCTTAGCTATCCCTCCGCCGCATGACACCCACACCACCCCCAGCACCATGAACATGGGCTCTCGCAGAGGGAGGGGAGGGATGGGAGAGAGTGGGGAGTGAGATAAAGGATGACTGCTATGCTTAGCTATCCCTCTGCCGCATGACACCCACACCACCCCCAGCACCATGAACATGGGCTCTCGCAGAGGGAGGGGAGGGATGGGAGAGAGGGGGGAGGGATGGGAAGGATAACTGCTGCGATTTACGATCACTCCGCCGCATGACACCCACACCTCACATGATCCCGCCCTCGTTCAGAAAATCCCTAAACCCCCACCCTATCCTTGCTGTCCGTACAGTCCACACACATACCCTCCCCCTACCCCGCCCATCCTAGTTCTTGGCACACAATCCCACCCTGGTCGTTTTTTTCCCTATTCTTCATTCAAATCCCCAAAGGGGCCAATTTTCCCATTCCGCGTGCCTCCCCTTGCGGCCAGTCATTGCTGTGGGATTGGGAGTTCTCCAAAACCAAGTGGGGCAACACGTACCTCGCCCAGACACCTGACATCATGCACATCATCGAGGCAGGGCTTTGGCTTTATGCAATGAGGTGCCTCGTGAAGAAGTTGAAACCGTCAGAGCGAAAAATACTTCTCGAGTAAGTTTCCCTTTTCCCCCGGTGGGGCGAGAGTCATACGTGCAAGAGAAAGAGGCATCGAGGGGGAACCAGAGGGATTGAGAGGGGAAGAGGGGCAGCGAGGGGGAAGGTTGCACTAAGAGAGACGGAGAGTGGGGCAGAGTGTTGCAAGAAGTTGGGCAGAGAGGGAGAATTCGGGGCAGAGAGATGGAAGGAGGGGCAGCCGGAGGGAGGGTAGGGCGGTGGTGTGGAAGGAGGGGCAGGGATGAGTGAATGCAGGGCACAGAGAAGGGGGAAGAGTGAGGGAATTTGTAGCAGCGTTGGAGGAATGCGGGGTGGAGAGAGGGGGAAGTGGTGCAGAAAGAGGGAATTTGGGACAAAGACGTTGAGGGAGGGGCACCATGGGGGAAGGAGGCGCTGCGAGCAGGAAGGTGGGGCTGCTAGCGGGAAGGAGGGGCATAGAAGGGGGAGGGGGGGGGGGGTTGGTCGTGTGAGGTGAACGCGGGATTCAGAATAGTGTCTCGGGGCATAGGGACCGCATGGGGGTAATGTAGGAGTAAAATTGGGCAGAGAGTAAGGGAGATTGCGGCTGGGAGAGGGCAAGTGGGGCAGAGTGAGGAAAATGGGGGCCTGGAGAAAGAAATTGGGACCGAGCAAGGGGAAATTGGGGCAGGGGGAGAGAACGAGGGGCGGAGAGAGGTGACCATGGGGCAGAGCGAGGGAACAAGGGGCAGAGAGAGGAATGATGAGGCATAGAGGCTGGGGGAGTGGGGCAGAGGACGGAAAGGGATTCACTGAGAGGGAGGCAGTGGGGAGATGAGGTGCGATTTGATGCACCTAACTACTAGACCACCCCGCCAGCCCCACCCCTCTCCCGCCCCCCTCCCTAACCCACCCCACCGGCCCCACACAAACCCTAAACCGATACCCTTACTGCATCGCGTACGTGCAGACGCTACAAGATTCTCAAGGCAGTGACTCCTGCGTCTTTGCTGAGACTCCCATCCGCATGGGCGTACTTCACCACGACGGCCTGCTTCTCAGCGTCGGAGCATCGTGCCATGATGCAAGTGCTGCCCCTCATCATCGACCTCCCCAAGCGCGCTGATATTCGACATGCCATCACGCTCATGTCGGACTGGTACAAGGAGTTTATCCGGGCTGAGTATCACACCGATGCCACGCTTGAGCGCGTGGAGGAGGTCTCCTGCGAGTAAGTATAGCGTGAATGGGTGTGGGTGCCATGCGCATAGGGAACGAGGGACAGTGAGATGGCTGAAGGGGTCGAGGGAGGGATTAAGAGGCAGTGTGTGGGAAATAGGGTGCAGAGAACGGGGGAAAAAGGGAAAAGATAAGGAAAGGGGGTAAAAGCGAGGGAAAGAGGGGACGAGGGAGGGAAAGAGGGGACGAGGGGGGGAAAGAGGGGACGAGGGAGGGAAAGAGGGGACGAAGGAGGGAAAGAGGGGAGGGGGGGGAGGGAACGATGGGCTGTGGACTGTTCCGCATGCGCTGAAAAAGGGAAGGAGGGGCATAATGACGACAGGAGGGGCTTAGAGTGGGGGAATGGAGTGGCAGAAACATGGAAGCTGAGTTGTGAGTGGGTGGGGGGGGGGGGGGGAGATGAGAGGAGGGGGGAGGGTTTGAGAGAGGGTAGTAGTACATGAACCCGGGTATGGGGCATTGTATGTTGTTTGTGGCTGAATTGTTGTTTATATGCTTACGCACGCTAAACCGATCCCCAACACCCAATGCCCCAATTCCGAACCTTTCAATCCACCCAAACACGTCCTATCCAGGATGGTCGATGCGCTTGTTCTAGCATTCGACAACCAGAAGTCGAAGTGGCTTATTATCAAGGTGCATCTTGTATCGCACCTCCCGCCGACGATCCGTGCACGGGGATTGCCACAGGAGTACTCGTCGAACCGGTACGACCAGTCCCACAAGACAACAGTGAAGCGCCCTTCTCGCGGCACCAACTGGAAGGGTGTGGAGGATCGCATTGTGAAGAAGCATATCGAGCAAGCCGTTGTTCGACAGCTGTCTCGAGCCTCCGGCGGGGACAAAACATACGAGACAGCCATGAAGGAGGTGAGCATGTGTACGACCTAATGCCAATCTTGCCCACCAATGTTCCCCGCCTGCTCCTGCCGCATGAAACCCTCATCACCTCGTGTTTTTGTTTAGACCCTGCCTCTTCCCTTCCTCCCGCTGCCCCCCTAGACATCCCTTCTAGCATCCACGTGCTCACCATCATGTCCACCCATGAAATGCCTCTACCGCTGCCCCCCTTGACATCCCGTTTTGCATCTACATGCTCGCATTCTTGTCCACCCATCGCTCCTTCCACTAGCTGCCACCCTTCACATTCCGTCTTGCCCCACATGCTTTCCCACTTAACCACCCATGCCCCTCCCCCGGCCCCCGTGGGACTATCCGTCGTTCAGCCCCCAATGCTCCCCTACTAATCCACCATATACCTTCGTGCTGCTAAACACGTCGCCCCCTCGGTTCCCCCCCCCCCCCCCCCCCCCATCCTCCTCCATGTCCATCCCCGGCACTTCCCATTCCCTCCTGTCGTTTGTCTTTCCTTTGCTCTCCCTTGATCTACACTTGTCCACCTATGCTCCCTCCTCTTGCTACACCCTTTGACCTCTGGAACTGCCCCGCTATACTAACCGACTGGTCCCTAATCTTTGCTCCCTCTCACTGCTGCCCCTGTTGTACTCAAGTGCTGCCCCTCTCCTGCTGCCCCCCATGTACACCATGCACCCATCACCCTCCTACCCAGGCTTGCACGCTTGGGCGTCGGGTGCTGACTAAGACACACAAGAAGATGACCGTGGGGCAGATCACGGATGTGTTCAGGAGCTATGTCCTTGTTCACGGAGATGAAGCGATGGGCTACTTGAAGAAGCGGCTGGCCAGGGAGGGAATTCACGACCAAGTGCTCAATGTGAGAATCAATATGGTGCTCAATGCGGGAGAATCAATGTGAGAATCAACTGCCACTGCCACGTAGACCTGTTAAACGCGGACCATCAACCTCCTTAATGAGCCGAACCCAGGCATGGCACCCTGTTGTATCCACGCACCCGTCAGCACCCCATTGTCTCAACCCTAACACAAACTTCCATTGTTGTGCTGCAATCCCTGCTTGCCTATTCGCAGGTGCACACTGCCATGGCAATCCCACCGCACGACAGGATGGAGTGGACCGAGAAGGGCCAGTTTGTCAAAGCAAGCCCTTCCGACAGGCACTTTTCAGATGTAGCCATAAATCCAGCTGGCAAAGGGGCCAACTGGTACGGCCGCTGCTTGATGCTGTTCCATTACGTGAAAGATGGCGTGGCAAAAAAAGCCGCCTACATCGAGTACTACACGGAGGATCGGCGAGTCTGCCGGTACACTGGCTGCAAACGACTGTTGCCCACAAAGGGCACCTTTAACTATGCAGTTGTAGATGCAGATTGCATTCTTAGCATCGTGCATGTTGTCCCGTGCTGCAAAGACCCTGCTGTGAAGCTGCTCAATAGGTTCATCTGGTGATGCAAATAAAGTAGCAACTATGTCAATTTACCATAACCTTCTTTGATTGTGAAACAAGCTTTTAAGCCACCTTATTATTGTCTCAACAATTAACATCTAACAAACATTCCATTGTAACACCGCGAAACCATTACTAAAACATCACCAAAACGTTTGGTCTGACAAGAATGCTATACAAACGATTCGTAAATGATTCCTAGATGATTGTCAAACGATTTTCAGAAGCTTGCTTTAAAAAAAATGGTCAGATGATTTCCAGACGCACACATTTTTGTGATGGCGCCCAGGGTGTATCTTCCTTTCCTTGCCTCCTTATCCCAGTCCGCCTTCCTCTATTTACCATTCCCCTTCTCCTGTCCCCTTCCCCTCTCCCCCACCCACCCGCTCTCAGCATGTGCGCCCAGGTGTATCTTCCTTTCCTTGCCTCCTCATCCCAATCCTCCTTCCTCTCTTTCCTATTCATCTTCGCCTGACCCCTTCCCTTTCCCCCATCCGCTCTCAGGCTGGGCGCTCAGGGCTACCGCTGTTCGCCTGCCAGCTGCGAGTAACGCTCCCGACCGTAATTCAACAGCCTATAGTATTCACGACCACTACCAGGGCCTGAAACGTGACAGTTAGGGCCTGCTGAAACGAATCATGGCCCGTATCCTTGCCCTCAATCCCCCAAGGTTGTCAGCTGCGAGTAACGCTGCCAGCCGTAAGTCAGCAGCATAGCTAGCTAGTAACGCTGCGAGTAACGCAGCCTCTCGTAGTCACCACCACCACCAGGGCCTGAGACGCGACGCAACAACAGCTAGTGCCTGCTGAAACGCAACCATGCCCTCCAAGGGTGTGAAGCAAGGTGGAAAAAAACGGTTGCGAAAAAAAAAGTATTGAAAAGAACGATTGATTTTTTCAGCCCTGTTTGGGAAAAAAACGTTGTTTTTTGTTAGGCCCAAAAAAAAACACAAAAAAAAACCCAAAATAAATCCCCTGCCACCAATCTGATCACAACAGGTCGGAATCTGGCACACTCTGCACGTGCGGGAAGGCTGAATATGTGTGGGTGATTGGTTCAAGCCACGACTTCCACCAATCCTGTGTGCTACGTTGCCATAACCCAAAAAAACGATCGTTTTTTTGCACCCAAATTTATTGAATTAATTTTATCGTTTTTATCTGTTTTAAACGATGGTATGGTACGATATCGAAAATAACGACAAAAAAATGAAAAAAAAAAAAACGTCGTTTTTTTGCACCTTGGTGTGAAGCGATATTTTTCTGCACCTTGATACCTAGTGCTCTTTCCAGCCACCCCCCCCTGTCCCTCCACAATCCATTTCTCCCTTCTATCTCGTTCACACGTGAGCTTTTCCAGTGTCGTGTATCACACGTAAGTTTCTTTCGTCCACACGTAAGTTTCTTTCGTCCACACGTACGTTTCTAGTAAGAAGGTCCTTAGTAGTATGTGAGGTGGCTGGTCGTTCCTTCCCACTGCTTTTTGCTCTCTCCGTTTCCCCTCTCCATTCTCCATCGCGCTTTCCTGTTCCTATCCTTCTCTGTTCTCCCCTCCTCGTCCCTGTTTCCTCCGCTCGTTCCTTTTTCCCTCTCCTCCTCTGTTCCTCTCTGATCCATCCCTCTGTCTGGATCCTCTCTCCCTCTCTGCTCCCTTTGAACAAGCATGCGCCAGACTCGTGTGTGCAGAGGAAGTGTGGAGCCAATGCGGTGTGCGTGAAGGAGAAGGGCGATACCATATGCATCTGCAACGTTGGATTCTCCATGACCCCCGCCGGCTGTGTTGGTGAGCGAGTGCTGTTAAAGTGGTGGTGTATGCTTCATGGGGTTGAGTGCTGCTGTGCAGTTCTGATACAGATCTGTGATTTTGAATTAATAGGTAATTTCGCCCCGTGCCTTTACTCACTAAGTTAGAGGGGTCGTTTACCCTTCGTGTACATTGGCAGTCATGTACTACGTCAGTCAGTCCTTATCCTCTCCTCACATGCACTACTCGAATCACTTTTTGGAATTCTGAGAATGTAAATCTGCTGTAATTTATTACACCAGTCATTCTTACTCTCTCCTCTCTCCTCTCCCCCCTCCCCTCTCCCTTGCCCTTCGCCCAGACACATGCGTGCTGAAGGCGTGTGGAGGCAACGCCACGTGCATCAAGGACAGTGCTGGAGTGGCGTCCTGTGTTTGTCGCTTTGGCTTTGTGCTGGGGCTGACAAGAGGATGTGCACTGGTATGTGCTGCTGCTGTGTGTGTACGTGTGCATGTGCTTCTATGTGCCTCAGCGTGCATGTACTGTAGGCTGACAAGAGAACGTGCACTGGTGGGTGCTGTGCGGAATGCACTGCTTGGTATGTATGTGCTGCTGCATACGACCAAGAAGACAACAATTCGGTTAGGGCGAGCAATGGACTTTTGAGACGTCTCAAAAGTATGTATGTGTTGCTGCATACGGCTAAGAAGGCAGCGATTAGGTTAGGGGTGAGCAATGGGTCGGGTCGACCCAATTGACCCAACCTGGTTTCGCGCTGGCCGGGTTGGGTCAGACTGAGGATTTTCCCAACCGAACCTGGTTACGCTCAGGATTTACCCGACCCGGCCCAGGTCAAAGGGGTTGGATCGGCGTACACAGGGTCGGGTCGACCTACTGGCAAATCCCGGCCCGAGAGCCAGGTTGGGTCGGGAAGGGACGAGTCGGGTTGGGTTGGGTCGGGTCGGTTCGGTACGGGACGGAACGGGACGGGACGGGACGGGTCGTCAGGTCGGTCAGGTCGGGTCGGGTCGGGTCGGGCCGGGTCGGGTCGGGTCGGGTCGGGTCGGGTCGGGTCGGGTCGGGCCGGGTCGGGTCGGGTCGGGTCCGGTCGGGTCGGGTCGGATCGGTCGGGCCGGGAAGGGTCCAAGGTTCAAAAATACGGCAGTCGTAAATTACGGTCCGTGATTTACGGTTGTAATTTATGGTGGTTTTGGCAAAAATACAGCCGTTTTTTTGTTGGACATTTTTTTGTACTTTTTATTTTTCTGAAACTTCTAGGCAGCTTACAACGATGACAAGGAAGCCTATAGGAAACTACACTACACTACCTAGGCAAATCTGCACCTAATCCCTCCTCTTCCTCCTCCCTCCTACTCCTCCTCCTACTCCTCCTCCTCCTACTCCTCCTCCACCTCCTACTCCTCCTCCACCTTCTCCTACTCCTCTCCTCCTCCACCTCCTACCCTTCCTCCTCCTCGTCGTCCTCCTCCTCCTCATCCTCCTCCTCCTCATCCTCCTTCTCCTCCCCACTCTCACCATCACTGCAGTCCCACTCCCACCGCCAGACTGCCTTAGGACGCTTGGAGGGTCCTACCTCCCGCCCATTGCTCTCTGCCGCCTCCTCCTCCTCCTGCTCCTCCTCCTCCTCCTCCTCCTCCTCCTCCTCCTCCTCCTCCTCCTCCTCCTCCTCCTCCTCCTCCTCCTCTTCCTCCTCCACCTCCTCCTCCTCCTCCTCCTCCTCCTCCTCCTCCTCCTCCTCCTCCTCCTCCTCCTCCTCCTCCTCCTCCTCCTCCTCCTCCTCCTCCTCCTCCTCCTCCTCCTCCACCACCACACGCTTCTTTCCTCTCCCCTTCCGCTTGCATGGCCCCTTTCCCTTTTCCTTCCTCTTCCTCTTGGAGCTCTCTCCCGCGCGCTTCTTCTTCTTCTTCTTACCAATGCTCCCAAATACAGTCCAGTCGATGGTGCACTCTGCCACCTCGGCTCCCTCCTCCTCTTCAGCCCCACCTTCATCCTCTTCCACTGTTGCGGGCGGGGGCACGGGAATGCCCTCTTTGAGGGTTCCGTCGGTGAGATCAGCATACAACTTCGCACGCATCTGAGTTTTGCGATCAAACGCATCGCGGGCCCTCCTGGTGAAGGCCACGAAGGTGACATCAGTCATCTTCTTGGCCGCGATGCGGTTCCGATCCCGCCTTTGCACTCGTGCAAGGGCGGAAAAGTACCGCTCCACCTCGGACGAGGTGACGGGCTGTGATAGGTTCGTGACAGCCAGTTCTTGGAGCGCTTGCACTTCCCCACCGAAAATCCACCACCACTCCGCATCCGTCATGCGCCCCCCCTCCACCAAGGTCTTGGCTGCCCATAGCGCATCATCCGACCCGAGGCGGCCCTCACCCTTATGGAACTGCACCAGCTGTGTCTGCAGCTTGATGCGCTGTGCCACATCCCCCCCCCGGGCCTGAATCACCGCGTCGGCCCCCTTCCTTACCTCCGCATCGGTTCCCACCTCCCCCGCGTACTGGTTGCGGGGATTAAGAAGCCATCCCAGGGCATGCAGTGGGTTGTGGAGTTGCCCGTCCCATCGCCGGGCAAGGATGCCCTTGATGGATGCCATGAAGGTGCTCTTGTCCTTGGCCAAGAGCAGGCCCGTCTTCTTGATGAATACCGAGGCTGCTCACGGTGTGGATGGAGGAGTTTATTGTTAACATAGGGAATGGCACGCGCGGTGTGATCAAGCATGCAACACAGATTCGGAAGTAGGAATAGAACTAAACATAAAAGAGCTTCAGACTTACCGGCGGCCTCTGCAGCTTCCAGTGTCTTGACCGTGATATCAATCATGAGGCCATAGATTTGGCCCATGACTTGTGCCCGTGTGTCAACCACCCTTAGCACTTCATAAACCGGCGTGAGGAGGCGGAGCACCGCAGTAACACAGTCCCAAAAGACGTCGTCAAGAAGAAGCGCCCGCACCTCCTGCCCTTCAGCCTTTTGCGCCACCGCCACCCCTTTCCATTCATTGCTGATAACCATGGCCTGGAGTGCCCCCTTCACCTCCAAGAAGCGGCGTATCATGATGACTTGAGTGCCGAACCGTGTCGCACCCGGCCGCACCAATGAAAGCTTGGTAAAGAGCTCGCGGAATAGAACGGCGGCGGAGGCACTACCCTTGATCATCATGACGACTCGATGCACTTGCTCTAACACGCGTTTGACGGGCCCAACTTTCCCTAGGTCGTGAAGCATAAGATCCAAGCAGTGGGCGGCGCAGTTGGCGAAAAAAACTGAGGGAAACTCCTCCTTAAGCTTCTCAGCCGCGGATCGGTTGTTAGACGCATTGTCCCATGATGACCTGGACCACGAGGTCCTTCCCCACTTCGGAGATCGAGTTCCCGATGATACCCGCGAGGTAGTCTCCAGTTTTCTTAGCGGTTTTCGAGTCGACAATGTCCACAATGACGGGCGCGGTGTCGTTGTGGGCGATGACGCACACAATCCCGCGGGACTTCATGCACGTCCACCCGTCCACCGAGAGACTGCACCCGGTCGTCTTCCAACTCTCCTTCAATGGCCTTACAAGCTCCTCGGCGTCCGCCCTTAGCTTGTCGAGGAGAGAGCCGGACACCTTGTAAGGGGTTGGGAGTGTGTAGGGCTTCGCGAACACGACCGCCGCGTCAACGAAGGCTTGTAGCGCACGCGATTTGGAGACGTTGAAGGCTAGATCATTCTCTGCCACAACTGCCGCCCACAGGTAGTCCAAACGCGCGCGGGCAACGGTATCCGCAATATCGCGGATGTCCCGCTGCCTAGAACGTCTTGCGGGCTGCATCTCGACCGTGGTGGAGGTAGAGCCAGAGGCACAGTTGGAACTGGAGGGTGTGGAAGACCGATCCCTCTCGGCGGCTTCACGAAGCCGCTTGGCAAACTCGGACGGACACGGCGTCACGTTCTTCTCCCTTGAACGAGGGGTCCCGTAGATGTGCTCTCTAATACGAGTGGCATTCGCGGTGACTACGCCGCTATGAGATGTAACCTTCGTCACGTGCTCCCACACCTCCGAGAAAGGTCTAACCATGGTGGAATATAGCAGATGGTTGAAGCTGTAAAATGCCTACTAAGAAGCACTTGTCGAGTAGGTTTATCGCCCTGCTCTTTGTACCTTGCAAGACTTGGTTGTGTTGCTTTGGCGAATGGAAAAGGCGAAAGGGATGGGATGTGATGGGATGGAGATTGGACTAATGCTATTGGTTAAAATTGTTTCGCAACGCAAAATTGGGTTGTGTCGCGCACGCGGGCGAAAATAACGACGGGGCCGCGAATCGTCCCACCGACCTGGCAAAACGGGTTGACGGGTGATAACGGTTCGCCAAATGTACAAATTACCGCATCGTGGAAATTTGTACATTTGCGCGTCGGCGAAATTCACAAACTGACATTTCGTAAGGGCGACAGAGCAGCACAACGTTCGCCAAAAAACAAAATGTCGCACCTCGAGAAACACCTGAAATGCGCGACTCGGGAAAAATACAAACACGTGTGCATTTGGCTACACGAATGTCTCAAACCCAGGGTGACGGTTGGGAAATGTCGAAATTCGCTATTGCAAACTCGGTATCAAAATTTCGGTCGTAATTTACGACCGTATTTTTAAACCAACTTGAATTTACAATGATTGACCGTTTTTTACCTTTAAACCAGCTTGAATTTACAATGATTGACCGTTTTTTACCGTAATTTACGATACCGTAATTTATGGTAAAAAATAAAAAATACGGTCGTAATTTTGAACCTTGGAAGGGTCGGGTCGGGTCAGGTCGGGTTGAGCTTACCAGAGTGAAGTGACCTGAGGCGAAAACTCCGGGTTGGGTTGGGTTGACTGTCCCAGCCAACCTGACCCGGTGCTCATGCCTATGGTATTCCGTGCGTTATGCTGATGACTTTTGAGTCGACTCATTAGTCAACTGACCCGGTGCTCATGCCTATGGTGTTCCGTGCGTTATGCCGATGTCATCCATTGCTGTTGCTTTACGCACGCTGCCCTTCCTACTCACTGTCCCCTCTGCCCCTCCCCCTTTCTTGCATACACGTGTGTGCTCAAGAAGTGTGGGAGTAACGCCGAGTGCGTGAAGAGCGCTGCAGGAGTGGCATCCTGCGTGTGTGATACTGGCTTCGTGCTACAGGCTGACAAGACTACATGCATTGGTGCGTGTGTGCTGACGTGTGATTGCAAAGCGATAGTCATGTAGTTCCCCGAGGCTATCTCTCACGTAATGCATGTATTTTTTTGCCTCTTTTGCCGATTCGTCAAACACTTACTACCTTCTACACTCTCTCTGCTTCGTTCCTTAACTCTTTAAGTAGGGCTTGCCTTCCCCACTCACTATCATGCCTTTCTACCCTTTCCCTTGGCAGACACGTGTGTGCTCAAGAAGTGTGGGAGTAACGCCAAGTGCGTGAAGAGCGCTGCAGGAGTGGCGTCCTGTGTGTGTGACACTGGCTTCGTGCTGCAGCCTGATGGCGTCACGTGCACCGGTATGTGCCATGCCATGCCATGTGAACAATGCCTCGTCCAATACTGCGCTGTGCCATATGTTATCGCCATGGCAATGCCATTCAGTATGGGCTAAGCTATGTTCTATGCCATGCCATGCCTTGTGCTATGCCATGCCTTGTGCTATGCCATGTGCCCTGCCATATGTGCTGGTAAGTGCTGCAACCGGGAACCTTGGTTGCCTTGCCCCCCTGCCCCCCATCCACCCAGACACATGCTTTTTCAAGGCGTGTGGAGGCAACGCCACGAGCATCAAGGACAGTGCTGGAGTGGCGTCCTGTGTTTGTGGCGCTGGCTTTGTGCTGCAGGCTGATGGCAGGACGTGCATTGGTGGGTGCTGTGCCATGCGTACTCAATGCCATGTGATTTGCTATGTGCCATGTGATTTGCTATGTGCCATGCCATGTGCCATTTGCTATGCTGTGGCGTACTGTGTTTGTAACTCTGGCTTCGTCCTGCAGGCTGATGGCAGGACGTGCACTGGTGGGTTCTTTGCCTTGCTACATGCTGACATCATGCCATGTGCTTCCACATGCTGCCATGTGTTCTGGTGCACTGATGACAGAATGCGCGCGCGCACTAGTGCCTGCTGCTGTGTGCTTATGCTTGTATGCGCTGCAATGCTTTGATTGAAACTTGTGCAAGCTGTGTTCCTGAATCCTGATGGCATGTACTGCTGTGCTGTGCTTCTCCTATGGCCCCCCTTCTCCCGTCTCTTCCAACCCCCCCTATGGCATGTTCCTATGCTGTGCTCCATGGCAAAGCAAGCCAAACCTCTGTTCCTGACAATCCTTATACCCGAAACCCCAGTTCTGTAAGAAATAGCACTCTCCGTTCACATGTTATTCTCCTTCCTCACTCTCTTCCCCCTCCCAGACACATGCACACTCAAGGCCTGTGGTGTGAACGGGTGGTGCATGAAGTTTGGCACTACTAAAGTGGCGTCCTGTCTGTGTTACACTGGCTTTGAGCTGCAGCCGGATGGCAAGACGTGCACTGGTACGTGCTGCTGTTATGTTCTTCGCCTTGCCTCTGTTTCTCTCCTCTCCCCCTTCCCATCTCTTCTTCAACTCCCTCCATTCTCACCCGCCCACCAACCCCCTTTCCACTCCCAAGTCTATTCCAAAAGCCACCTCCTTCCAAAAGTTCATTCTAAATTTTCGAGGCCAGATGAAAGCAACATCCTTCCCAATCGTTGTTCACGCTAACACCCGTTCTTTTTTTAGTTTCTTGTATGCTCTTCTTGGCCCGGTTTGAGGCGTCTTCAAGGCAAAATGTGAGCAGTTGTCCTGATCCGATGTGTGTGCCTTTGGTGCCATCCATGTGGTGCCATCCATGTGGTGCCATCCATGTGCTACCATCCATGTGGTGCCATGTTCCTCTCCCTCCATCTCCCCTCCATCCTTCCCTTCAGATACATGTGCCATTCAGGGCGGCGACGCTACAGTTTCTGAGTGCGTGAAGGACGCTGCTGACTTTTGAGTCAACTCAAAAGTCATTCCTCACTCCCCCCCCCTCCATCCTTCCCTCAGATACCTGCGACAGTCAGGGCTGCAACGTTACGGTTTCTGATTGTGTGAAGGACGGTGCAGGCATGGCCTCCTGTGTTTGCAAGACAGGCTATCGGAATGTGTTGGGCACGTGTGTGGGTACGTACAGGTGGTATTGATTGACGCACACATGGCATTGACTGACCTGACGTACAGGTGGCATTGACTGACGTACAGTGATTGAGTGAATGAATACGTTAGGATGACCTTTGCTGCATGCATCCCTTTTTCTGTTTTCTACGCCTTTATTTCATTCAATCCTGTACACCCTCCTTGTATGTGTTCATTCAGATAAGATAAATACACTACCTTTGAGGCCACAATGACCTTTTGCGAGTTGCGTGTGGCTCAACTTTGTGCTTTGCTCTGTGCTCAAAATAACCCCATTCGCATCACATCACCCACTCCTTTGCTTCAACAAACAAAACAAGCTCCATCACTATACAGCCCCTCGCTCTCATCCCTCACACTCCCAATCCACCATAAGGGTTCTAGAAAAGACAAAATCGTTCTCCACTGCCTTCTTCCTAATCCACACTCCCTCCACTTTCCTTTCCATCTCTCCATCCTCTCTTCTTCCCTATCTGTCCAGGCATCGACCCATGTGGGGGCTGCCCTGCAGGACCAACATGCACTGTTGCTGCCACTTTTGAGTCGACTCAAAATTCACCTCATCTCATCCATCCTCTCTCTCTCCTTCCCATCTGTCCAGGCATCGACCCATGTGGGGGCTGCCCTGCAGGAGCCACGTGCACTGCCACTGCCTCTGGGAACGTTCCATACTGCATGTGCCCTCCCGGCTATGGCATGACTAGCACTGGCTGCATCAGCGGTAAGCCCCATGTTGTTTGCAATCCAGTCATCATGACCCAATGTTGTTTGTAGTCTCGCTGTGACCAACGCTGGTGTTTATAACAATGTCTGAATATGTACCCGTTTCTTACTCCCTGCCCACCCCAATCCACCCGTGTTACCCTATGGGCGAGTCACAGCCTTTCCTTGGCCACCCTTCACGTTCCACCTCCCTGTGTTCCTCTCCTCTCCCCTCCCTTGCAGGCGCCACCCCCACCGTCTCTTCCACCAGCATCACCTACGATCAGACCGACTACACCGTCACTTTCAACACCTACACAATGCGATCAACTTCAACGCCTGCACCACCCTCCCTCCTATCACCGTTGAGGCCACGCGAGCGATTCTGCGAGCGGACAGGGTGCCTGGGGGGGCGAGGGACTGTGCTGCTGTGTACGCGTTCCCGTGGAGCAGCTGGTGCATTGGTCCCAAGACAACGCTTCGCCCTCCAGTTAATGGAACAGGCGGGTCGATGTGAGTGCGTCGATAGGTTGTTGTGGGCAGGATGGGGTGGTGCGAGGCGAGTGATTGGGAATCAGGAGAAGCAGGGGGTTTGTGCTGCTGCTGTGTATGCATTCATACCCCTGGAGTGCTTCGCCCTCCGGCTAATGGAACGGGCAGGGCGATGTGAGTGAGTTGATGGTTTCTTGTGGGCATGGTGGTGTGAATGAAACAGGGTGATGTAAGAATCTGGAGGGGCAGGAGGGGTGTGCTGCTGCTGTGTACACGTTCCCTGGAGCGGCTTAGGGTTTGGTCCCAAGACGGCGCTTCGCCCTCCAGTTAATAAAACGGGCGGGTCGATGTGAGTTGATGGTTTAGTTCGGGAAGAAGGGTGTGAGAGGGCCGGGTGGGTGTGAGTGAGAAGAGGGTGGGTGCGAGTGAGAGAAGGGTGGGTGCGAGTGAGAGGCAGGTGGGTGTGAGTGAGAGGCGGATGGGTGTGAGAGTGGTGGATGGGTGTGAGAGAGAGGAGGGTGGGTGCGAGTGATAGGAGGGCGGGTGCGAGTGAGAGGAGGGTGGGTGCGAGTGAGAGGCGGTGGGTGTGAGTGAGAGGGGCGGATGGGTGTGAGAGGGCGGATGGGTGTGAGAGGGGCGGATGGATGTGAGAGGGGCGGGTGGGTGTGAGTGAGAGGTGGGTGTGAGTGAGGCGGGTGGGTGTGAGAAGGAGTGCGCACGCACACATGACCCACATCACACATGGAAAAATATGATTTTCCTTTAAACGGCACACATGTTGAAATGAAATCGACATGGAAGGGCGTTTTTCTGGTTTCCTTCAGAATATGATCAAACCGTTTGGTTGGTCAAACAAGTCGTTCCTTATCCAATCGGCTTGATGGTCTGTGCATTCGGGCACGCATGGATCCTTGGGTTATTCTCTGTATCCGTTTCCTTACTGCTCGCTTGCTTGAGTGCGCGTTTTCCTCTCCCACGGCTAATATTTTGAATATTCCTACAACTCTTATTTTTTTAGAGTCTGTTTGTTAGGCGCCTCAAAACTAATTTCATCACTGCCTGCCTGTTTGTGTGTTCTTTTTCCTCGCCTACAGCTATTATTTCGGATATCCGTACAGCTCCTTCAGCTGCGTTGCTGCTGGTGAGTTCTGGCTGTGTTGGTGGGTGCTGCTGCTTTCCAAATTTCTTGTTATTGCAAGTGCACGTCAAACAGCACAGTTTCTCACATTGCACGTCAAACAGGTTACAACACAGTTTCCTTTTGAGACGTCTCAAAAGTGCTGCTGTGTTGGTTGGTGAGTACGGCTGCTTTCACAGCTCTCATGATCGCAAGTGCACTTCAGATCGCACAGGTCCCACCTGCAATGTTCTTACTGTAGCGGCGTGACTTTTTTGTCGACGCAAAAGTCACCTTTTCACCGATCTTGTTTAAGTGCACTTCAAACTGCCCAATTCCCTCCTGCAATCTCGTAGTTATGACTCCCGTTCTTCTCACATGTGTCGCATGTCACCCGCTGCTGGCTACTACTACAACAATCTCTTTTGAGGCACCTCAGCAAACTCCCGTTCTGCTCACATGTCACATGTCACCCGCGCTGCTGCTGCTGCAATGTCATACCACACCACACCAAGTGCACATACACCCAAAGCGAAATTTCATCCTGTAAAAATTTTCTATCTCTTTCCCTCACAGAGTCATGTGCAACCAAGAGCTGTGGAGGCAACGGCACGTGCATGGAGGATAGTGCTGGGGTTGCCTCCTGTGTTTGTAACGCTGGGTTTCTGCTGCAACCTGACGGCACCACATGCACTGGTATGTGGTTCTGTGCGGTACTATGTGATTCTGTGTGGTGCTCTGTGGTGTTGTGTGGTGCTGTGCGCTATTGTCTGTCTGCACCTGGGGTTGCCTCCTGTGTCTGTAATGCTGGGTTTCTCCTGCAATCTGACGGCACCACGTGCACTGGTATGTGCTGCTGTGTGGTTCTGTGAGGTGCTTTGTAGTTTTGTGTGGTGGTGTGAGTTCTGTGTAGTGCTGTGTGGTGCTGTGTGGTCCTGTGTGGTGTTGTGCGGTGCTGTATGGTGCTGCGTGGTGCTGTGTGGTGCTGTGCGCCGCTGTCTGCAACTGTGGATCATGCTTTCTCATGCTCCCTCCCTTACGTCCACTCCCACGTTCTCTCTCTTCCTTCTTCCCATCCATTTGCTCAGTCTCTTTCCCTCCTCTTCTTTCCATCCATTTTCTCAATCTCTTTCCCTCCTCTTCTTCCCATCCATTTGCTCAATCTCTTTCCCTCCACTTCTTTCCATCCATTTTCTCAATCTCTTTCCCTCCTCTTCTTCCCATCCATTTTCTCAGTCTCTTTCCCTCTCACTCATGTGTGCCTCTTCTTCCCATACCCTCCCAAACCCCCATGCCCGGTCCAGATCTCCGTTCCATGTCAGTACCAAGAATTTCTTCTTGCCATTCTTTTGTCCTCCCGCAGAAGCGTGTGGGACCAAGATCCCAAGTCAACTCTTCTCTTGGTGTTCCCTTCGTACCACTCCTGTCTAATCTCCCACAGAGCAGAGGCGTGTGGGACCAAGATCCAAATTCACCTCTTATCTTGGTGTTCTCTTCGTACTACTCCCATCTAATCTCCTTCAGAGGCGTGTGGGACCAAGATCTGCGATCCCACGACTGACTGTGTGAGGGACGCTGCAGGCGGTGCAACCTGTGTGTGCAAGGTGGGCTATCAGAGCATCTCCGGCAAATGTGTTGGTACGTGCTGGTGCAGTCTTTTTTAGTCCACTCAAAATAGGCTATCAGAGCACCTCCGGCAAATGTGTCAGTACGGTCAGGTCATATTAGCGGTGTAATCTGGTAAGGCGTTCATTCGTGTGCGTGTGTTTGTTCGTCTTTGTGCTGCGGCATTCGCGTTGGTGTAGGGGTGTCGGTCAACTCGGATGCCGCGCTGGTGTTTTGTCGAGAGCTCTGTGCTCCTCTGCTGCTCCATGTTGGTGTTTGTTGTTCCATCTTGTGCTATAATATGCTTTGCCAGGGTGTGTTGTGATCTGATGTTTCACCTTTTGCACTCTTCCTCATCTCTTCTCCTTCCCCGCCTCCCCAGGCTCCGTCACATGTGGAGACCGCCCTACACGAGCCACCTGCACCGTTTCTTTGTTTTTTTGTCGTGCTGTGTCGTGAATATTGGTTTTCTCCCTTTTCCTTATCTGGTCTCTTTCTTTCATCTCCTTGCTCCTCCTCATCTCCTCCCTTTCTTAATCTCCTCCCTCTTCCCACCTCCCCAGGCCCTACCACATGTGGGAGCTGCCCTACAGGAGCCACATGCACGGTTACTTCTAGCAATGTGCCGTACTGCATCTGTCCTCCCGGCTATGGCATGGGGCTCGTCTTGCATCAGCGGTAAGGTTATGCCTCTAAATCATGGCACGGGCTTCCAATGATGGCAGGGGCTTCCAATAATGGCATGGAATTCCAACAATGGCATGGGCTTTCATATTTGGCATGTCCTTTCAATTGTAGCATAGCCTTCTGACTGTGGCATGTCCTTTCTTCAAACTGTGGCATGTCCTTTCTTCCAACTGTGGCATATCCTTTTGTGACATGTCTATCCAATTGTGGCATGTCTTTCGAACTGTCCAATTGTGGCATGTCTTTCCCTCCTCTTCATTCCATCCATTTTCTCATTCTCTTTCCCTCCTCTTCTTCCCATCCATTTGCTCAGTCTCTTTCCCTCCTCTTCTTCCCATCCATTTTCTCAGTCTCTTTCCCTCCTCTTCTTCCCATCCATTTTCTTGCTGCTAGAGTTACTGAAGCTGGAGGTGCTGCTGGCGCTGGTGCTGCCGCTGGGGGTGCTGGTGCTGTTCTTTCCCTCCTCTTCTTCCCATCCATTTTCTCAGTCTCTTTCCCTCCTCTTCTTCCCATCCATTTTCTCAGTCTCTTTCCCTCCTCTTCTTCCCATCCATTTTCTCAGTCTCTTTCCCTCCTCTTCTTCCCATCCATTTTCTCAGTCTCTTTCCCTCCTCTTCTTCCCATCCATTTTCTCAATCTCTTTCCCTCCTCTTCTTCCCATCCATTTTCTCAGTCTCTTTCCCTCCTCTTCTTCCCATCCATTTGCTCAGTCTCTTTCCCTCCTCTTCTTTCCATCCATTTTCTCAGTCTCTTTCCCTCCTCTTCTTCCCATCCATTTGCTCAGTCTCTTTCCCTCCTCTTCTTCCCATCCATTTTCTCAGTCTCTTTCCCTCCTCTTCTTCCCGTCCATTTTCTCAGTCTCTTTCCCTCCTCTTCTTCCCATCCATTTTCTCAGTCTCTTTCCCTCCTCTTCTTCCCATCCATTTTCTCAATCTCTTTCCCTCCTCTTCTTCCCATCCATTTTCTCAGTCTCTTTCCCTCCTCTTCTTCCCATCCATTTGCTCAGTCTCTTTCCCTCCTCTTCTTTCCATCCATTTTCTCAGTCTCTTTCCCTCCTCTTCTTCCCATCCATTTGCTCAGTCTCTTTCCCTCCTCTTCTTCCCATCCATTTCCTCAGTCTCTTTCCCTCCTCTTCTTCCCATCCATTTTCTCAGTCTCTTTCCCTCCTCTTCTTCCCATCCATTTTCTCAGTCTCTTTCCCTCCTCTTCTTCCCATCCATGTTCTCAATCTCTTTCCCTCCTCTTCTTCCCATCCATTTTCTCAGTCTCTTTCCCTCCTCTTCTTCCCATCCATTTGCTCTGTCTCTTTCCCTCCTCTTCTTTCCATCCATTTTCTCAGTCTCTTTCCCTCCTCTTCTTCCCATCCATTTGCTCAGTCTCTTTCCCTCCTCTTCTTCCCATCCATTTTCTCAGTCTCTTTCCCTCCTCTTCTTCCCATCCATTTTCTTGCTGCTGGAGTTACTGGAGCTGGAGGTGCTGCTGGCGCTGGTGCTGCCGCTGGGGGTGCTGGTGCTGTTCTTTCCCTCCTCTTCTTCCCATCCATTTTCTCAGTCTCTTTCCCTCCTCTTCTTCCCATCCATTTTCTCAGTCTCTTTCCCTCCTCTTCTTCCCATCCATTTTCTCAATCTCTTTCCCTCCTCTTCTTCCCATCCATTTTCTCAGTCTCTTTCCCTCCTCTTCTTCCCATCCATTTTCTCAATCTCTTTCCCTCCTCTTCTTTCCATCCATTTTCTCAGTCTCTTTCCCTCCTCTTCTTCCCATCCATTTGCTCAGTCTCTTTCCCTCCTCTTCTTCCCATCCATTTTCTCAGTCTCTTTCCCTCCTCTTCTTCCCATCCATTTTCTTGCTGCTGGAGTTACTGGAGCTGGAGGTGCTGCTGGCGCTGGTGCTGCCGCTGGGGGTGCTGGTGCTGTTCTTTCCCTCCTCTTCTTCCCATCCATTTTCTCAGTCTCTTTCCCTCCTCTTCCTTCCATCCATTTTCTCAGTCTCTTTCCCTCCTCTTCTTCCCATCCATTTTCTCAGTCTCTTTCCCTCCTCTTCTTCCCATCCATTTTCTCAGTCTCTTTCCCTCCTCTTCTTCCCATCCATTTTCTCAATCTCTTTCCCTCCTCTTCTTCCCATCCATTTTCTCAGTCTCTTTCCCTCCTCTTCTTCCCATCCATTTGCTCAGTCTCTTTCCCTCCTCTTCTTTCCATCCATTTTCTCAGTCTCTTTCCCTCCTCTTCTTCCCATCCATTTGCTCAGTCTCTTTCCCTCCTCTTCTTCCCATCCATTTTCTCAGTCTCTTTCCCTCCTCTTCTTCCCGTCCATTTTCTCAGTCTCTTTTCCTCCTCTTCTTCCCATCCATTTTCTCAGTCTCTTTCCCTCCTCTTCTTCCCATCCATTTTCTCAATCTCTTTCCCTCCTCTTCTTCCCATCCATTTTCTCAGTCTCTTTCCCTCCTCTTCTTCCCATCCATTTGCTCAGTCTCTCTCCCTCCTCTTCTTTCCATCCATTTTCTCAGTCTCTTTCCCTCCTCTTCTTCCCATCCATTTGCTCAGTCTCTTTCCCTCCTCTTCTTCCCATCCATTTTCTCAGTCTCTTTCCCTCCTCTTCTTCCCATCCATTTTCTCAGTCTCTTTCCCTCCTCTTCTTCCCATCCATTTTCTCAGTCTCTTTCCCTCCTCTTCTTCCCATCCATTTTCTCAATCTCTTTCCCTCCTCTTCTTCCCATCCATTTTCTCAGTCTCTTTCCCTCCTCTTCTTCCCATCCATTTGCTCAGTCTCTTTCCCTCCTCTTCTTTCCATCCATTTTCTCAGTCTCTTTCCCTCCTCTTCTTCCCATCCATTTGCTCAGTCTCTTTCCCTCCTCTTCTTCCCATCCATTTTCTCAGTCTCTTTCCCTCCTCTTCTTCCCATCCATTTTCTTGCTGCTGGAGTTACTGGAGCTGGAGGTGCTGCTGGCGCTGGTGCTGCCGCTGGGGGTGCTGGTGCTGTTCTTTCCCTCCTCTTCTTCCCATCCATTTTCTCAGTCTCTTTCCCTCCTCTTCTTCCCATCCATTTTCTCAGTCTCTTTCCCTCCTCTTCTTCCCATCCATTTTCTCAATCTCTTTCCCTCCTCTTCTTCCCATCCATTTTCTCAGTCTCTTTCCCTCCTCTTCTTCCCATCCATTTGCTCAATCTCTTTCCCTCCTCTTCTTTCCATCCATTTTCTCAATCTCTTTCCCTCCTCTTCTTCCCATCCATGTTCTCAATCTCTTTCCCTCCTCTTCTTCCCATCCATTTTCTCAGTCTCTTTCCCTCCTCTTCTTCCCATCCATTTTCTCACTCTCTTTCCCTCCTCTTCTTCCCATCCATTTTCTCAGTCTCTTGCCCTCCTCTTCTTCCCATCCATTTTCTCAATCTCTTTCCCTCCTCTTCTTTCCATCCATTTTCTCAGTCTCTTTCCCTCCTCTTCTTCCCATCCATTTGCTCAGTCTCTTTCCCTCCTCTTCTTTCCATCCATTTTCTCAGTCTCTTTCCCTCCTCTTCTTCCCATCCATTTGCTCAGTCTCTTTCCCTCCTCTTCTTCCCATCCATTTTCTCAGTCTCTTTCCCTCCTCTTCTTCCCATCCATTTTCTCAGTCTCTTTCCCTCCTGTTCTTCCCATCCATTTTCTCAGTCTCTTTCCCTCCTCTTCTTCCCATCCATTTTCTCAATCTCTTTCCCTCCTCTTCTTCCCATCCATTTTCTCAGTCTCTTTCCCTCCTCTTCTTCCCATCCATTTGCTTAGTCTCTTTCCCTCCTCTTCTTTCCATCCATTTTCTCAGTCTCTTTCCCTCCTCTTCTTCCCATCCATTTGCTCAGTCTCTTTCCCTCCTCTTCTTCCCATCCATTTTCTCAGTCTCTTTCCCTCCTCTTCTTCCCATCCATTTTCTTGCTGCTGGAGTTACTGGAGCTGGAGGTGCTGCTGGCGCTGGTGCTGCCGCTGGGGGTGCTGGTGCTGTTCTTTCCCTCCTCTTCTTCCCATCCATTTTCTCAGTCACTTTCCCTCCTCTTCTTCCCATCCATTTTATCAGTCTCTTTCCCTCCTCTTCTTCCCATCCATTTTCTCAATCTCTTTACCTCCTCTTCTTCCCATCCATTTTCTCAGTCTCATTCCCTCCTCTTCTTCCCATCCATTTGCTCAATCTCTTTCCCTCCTCTTCTTTCCATCCATTTTCTCAATCTCTTTCCCTCCTCTTCTTCCCATCCATTTTCTCAGTCTCTTTCCCTCCTCTTCTTCCCATCCATTTTCTCAGTCTCTTTCCCTCTTCTTCTTCCCATCCATTTTCTCAGTCTCTTTCCCTCCTCTTCTTCCCATCCATTTTCTCAGTCTCTTTCCCTCCTCTTCTTCCCATCCATTTTCTCAATCTCTTTCCCTCCTCTTCTTCCCATCCATTTTCTCAGTCTCTTTCCCTCCTCTTCTTCCCATCCATTTTCTCAATCTCTTTCCCTCCTCTTGTTCCCATCCATTGTCTTTCCCTCCTCTTCTTCCCATCCATTTGCTCAGTCTCTTTCCCTCCTCTTCTTTCCATCCATTTTCTCAGTCTCTTTCCCTCCTCTTCTTCCCATCCATTTGCTCAGTCTCTTTCCCTCCTCTTCTTCCCATCCATTTTCTCAGTCTCTTTCCCTCCTCTTCTTCCCATCCATTTTCTTGCTGCTGGAGTTACTGGAGCTGGAGGTGCTGCTGGCGCTGGTGCTGCCGCTGGGGGTGCTGGTGCTGTTCTTTCCCTCCTCTTCTTCCCATCCATTTTCTCAGTCTCTTTCCCTCCTCTTCTTCCCATCCATTTTCTCAGTCTCTTTCCCTCCCCTTCTTCCCATCCATTTTCTCAATCTCTTTCCCTCCTCTTCTTCCCATCCATTTTCTCAGTCTCTTTCCCTCCTCTTCTTCCCATCCATTTGCTCAATCTCTTTCCCTCCTCTTCTTTCCATCCATTTTCTCAATCTCTTTCCCTCCTCTTCTTCCCATCCATGTTCTCAATCTCTTTCCCTCCTCTTCTTCCCATCCATTTTCTCAGTCTCTTTCCCTCCTCTTCTTCCCATCCATTTTCTCAGTCTCTTTCCCTCCTCTTCTTCCCATCCATTTTCTCAGTCTCTTTCCCTCCTCTTCTTCCCATCCATTTGCTCAATCTCTTTCCCTCCTCTTCTTCCCATCCATGTTCTCAGTCTCTTTCCCTCCTCTTCTTCCCATCCATTTGCTCAATCTCTTTCCCTCCTCTTCTTTCCATCCATTTTCTCAATCTCTTTCCCTCCTCTTCTTCCCATCCATGTTCTCAATCTCTTTCCCTCCTCTTCTTCCCATCCATTTTCTCAATCTCTTTCCCTCCTCTTCTTCCCATCCATTTTCTCAGTCTCTTTCCCTCCTCTTCTTCCCATCCATTTGCTCAGTCTCTTTCCCTCCTCTTCTTTCCATCCATTTTCTCAGTCTCTTTCCCTCCTCTTCTTCCCATCCATTTGCTCTGTCTCTTTCTCTCCTCTTCTTCCCATCCATTTTCTCAGTCTCTTTCCCTCCTCTTCTTCCCATCCATTTTCTCAGTCTCTTTCCCTTCTCTTCTTCCCATCCATTTTCTCAGTCTCTTTCCCTCCTCTTCTTCCCATCCATTTTCTCAATCTCTTTCCCTCCTCTTCTTCCCATCCATTTTCTCAGTCTCTTTCCCTCCTCTTCTTCCCATCCATTTGCTGAGTCTCTTTCCCTCCTCTTCTTTCCATCCATTTTCTCAGTCTCTTTCCCTCCTCTTCTTCCCATCCATTTGCTCAGTCTCTTTCCCTCCTCTTCTTCCCATCCATTTTTTCAGTCTCTTTCCCTCCTCTTCTTCCCATCCATTTTCTCAGTCTCTTTCCCTTCTCTTCTTCCCATCCATTTTCTCAGTCTCTTTCCCTCCTCTTCTTCCCATCCATTTTCTCAATCTCTTTCCCTCCTCTTCTTCCCATCCATTTGCTCAGTCTCTTTCCCTCCTCTTCTTTCCATCCATTTTCTCAGTCTCTTTCCCTCCTCTTCTTCCCATCCATTTGCTCAGTCTCTTTCCCTCCTCTTCTTCCCATCCATTTTCTCAGTCTCTTTCCCTCCTCTTCTTCCCATCCATTTGCTCAATCTCTTTCCCTCCTCTTCTTCCCATCCATTTTCTCAGTCTCTTTCCCTCCTCTTCTTCCCATCCATTTGCTCAATCTCTTTCCCTCCTCTTCTTCCCATCCATGTTCTCAGTCTCTTTCCCTCCTCTTCTTCCCATCCATTTGCTCAATCTCTTTCCCTCCTCTTCTTTCCATCCATTTTCTCAATCTCTTTCCCTCCTCTTCTTCCCATCCATGTTCTCAATCTCTTTCCCTCCTCTTCTTCCCATCCATTTTCTCAATCTCTTTCCCTCCTCTTCTTCCCATCCATTTGCTGAGTCTCTTTCCCTCCTCTTCTTCCCATCCATTTGCTCAATCTCTTTCCCTCCTCTTCTTCCCATCCATGTTCTCAGTCTCTTTCCCTCCTCTTCTTCCCATCCATTTGCTCAATCTCATTCCCTCCTCTTCTTTCCATCCATTTTCTCAATCTCTTTCCCTCCTCTTCTTCCCATCCATGTTCTCAATCTCTTTCCCTCCTCTTCTTACCATCCATTTTCTCAATCTCTTTCCCTCCTCTTCTTCCCATCCATTTTTTCAGTCTCTTTCCCCCCTCTTCTTCCCATCCATTTTCTCAGTCTCTTTCCCTCCTCTTCTTCCCATCCATTTTCTCAGTCTCTTTCCCTCCTCTTCTTCCCATCCATTTTCTCAATCTCTTTCCCTCCTCTTCTTCCCATCCATTTTCTCAGTCTCTTTCCCTCCTCTTCTTCCCATCCATTTGCTCAATCTCTTTCCCTCCTCTTCTTTCCATCCATTTTCTCAATCTCTTTCCCTCCTCTTCTTCCCATCCATGTTCTCAATCTCTTTCCCTCCTCTTCCTCCCATCCATTTTCTCAGTCTCTTTCCCTCCTCTTCTTTCCATCCATTTTCTCAGTCTCTTTCCCTCCTCTTCTTCCCATCCATTTGCTCAGTCTCTTTCCCTCCTCTTCTTCCCATCCATTTTCTTAGTCTCTTTCCCTCCTCTTCTTCCCATCCTTTTTCTCAATCTCTTTCCCTCCTCTTCTTCCCATCCATTTTCTCAGTCTCTTTCCCTCCTCTTCTTCCCATCCATTTGCTCCGTCTCTTTCCCTCCTCTTCTTTCCATCCATTTTCTCAGTCTCTTTCCCTCCTCTTCTTCCCATCCATTTGCTCAGTCTCTTTCCCTCCTCTTCTTCCCATCCATTTTCTCAGTCTCTTTCCCTCCTCTTCTTCCCATCCATTTTCTCATTCTCTTTCCCTCCTCTTCTTTCCATCCATTTTCTCAGTCTCTTTCCCTCCTCTTCTTCCCATCCATTTTCTCAATCTCTTTCCCTCCTCTTCTTCCCATCCATTTTCTCAGTCTCTTTCCCTCCTCTTCTTCCCATCCATTTGCTCAGTCTCTTTCCCTCCTCTTCTTTCCATCCATTTTCTTAGTCTCTTTCCCTCCTCTTCTTCCCATCCATTTGCTCAGTCTCTTTCCCTCCTCTTCTTCCCATCCATTTTCTCAGTCTCTTTCCTTCCTCTTCTTCCCATCCATTTTCTCAGTCTCTTTCCCTCCTCTTCTTCCCATCCATTTTCTCAGTCTCTTTCCCTCCTCTTCTTCCCATCCATTTTCTCAATCTCTTTCCCTCCTCTTCTTCCCATCCATTTGCTCAGTCTCTTTCCCTCCTCTTCTTCCCATCCATTTTCTCAGTCTCTTTCCCTCCTCTTCTTCCCATCCATTTTCTCAGTCTCTTTCCCTCCTCTTCTTCCCATCCATTTTCTCAGTCTCTTTCCCTCCTCTTCTTCCCATCCATTTTCTCAATCTCTTTCCCTCCTCTTCTTCCCATCCATTTTCTCAGTCTCTTTCCCTCCTCTTCTTCCCATCCATTTGCTCAATCTCTTTCCCTCCTCTTCTTTCCACCCATTTTCTCAATCTCTTTCCCTCCTCTTCTTTCCACCCATTTTCTCAATCTCTTTCCCTCCTCTTCTTCCCATCCATGTTCTCAATCTCTTTCCCTCCTCTTCTTCCCATCCATTTTCTCAGTCTCTTTCCCTCCTCTTCTTTCCATCCATTTTCTCAGTCTCTTTCCCTCCTCTTCTTCCCATCCATTTGCTCAGTCTCTTTCCCTCCTCTTCTTCCCATCCATTTTCTCAGTCTCTTTCCCTCCTCTTCTTCCCATCCATTTTCTCAGTCTCTTTCCCTCCTCTTCTTCCCATCCATTTTCTCAGTCTCTTTCCCTCCTCTTCTTCCCATCCTTTTTCTCAATCTCTTTCCCTCCTCTTCTTCCCATCCATTTTCTCAGTCTCTTTCCCTCCTCTTCTTCCCATCCATTTGCTCCGTCTCTTTCCCTCCTCTTCTTTCCATCCATTTTCTCAGTCTCTTTCCCTCCTCTTCTTCCCATCCATTTGCTCAGTCTCTTTCCCTCCTCTTCTTCCCATCCATTTTCTCAGTCTCTTTCCCTCCTCTTCTTCCCATCCATTTTCTCAGTCTCTTTCCCTCCTCTTCTTCCCATCCATTTTCTCAGTCTCTTTCCCTCCTCTTCTTCCCATCCATATTCTCAATCTCTTTCCCTCCTCTTCTTCCCATCCATTTTCTCAGTCTCTTTCCCTCCTCTTCTTCCCATCCATTTTCTCAGTCTCTTTCCCTCCTCTTCTTCCCATCCATTTTCTCAATCTTTTTCCCTCCTCTTCTTCCCATCCATTTGCTCAGTCTCTTTCCCTCCTCTTCTTCCCATCCATTTTCTCAGTCTCTTTCCCTCCTCTTCTTCCCATCCATTTTCTCAGTCTCTTTCCCTCCTCTTCTTCCCATCCATTTTCTCAGTCTCTTTCCCTCCTCTTCTTCCCATCCATTTTCTCAATCTCTTTCCCTCCTCTTCTTCCCATCCATTTTCTCAGTCTCTTTCCCTCCTCTTCTTCCCATCCATTTGCTCAATCTCTTTCCCTCCTCTTCTTTCCACCCATTTTCTCAATCTCTTTCCCTCCTCTTCTTCCCATCCATGTTCTCAATCTCTTTCCCTCCTCTTCTTCCCATCCATTTTCTCAGTCTCTTTCCCTCCTCTTCTTTCCATCCATTTTCTCAGTCTCTTTCCCTCCTCTTCTTCCCATCCATTTCCTCAGTCTCTTTCCCTCCTCTTCTTCCCATCCATTTTCTCAGTCTCTTTCCCTCCTCTTCTTCCCATCCATTTTCTCAGTCTCTTTCCCTCCTCTTCTTCCCATCCATTTTCTCAGTCTCTTTCCCTCCTCTTCTTCCCATCCTTTTTCTCAATCTCTTTCCCTCCTCTTCTTCCCATCCATTTTCTCAGTCTCTTTCCCTCCTCTTCTTCCCATCCATTTGCTCCGTCTCTTTCCCTCCTCTTCTTTCCATCCATTTTCTCAGTCTCTTTCCCTCCTCTTCTTCCCATCCATTTGCTCAGTCTCTTTCCCTCCTCTTCTTCCCATCCATTTTCTCAGTCTCTTTCCCTCCTCTTCTTCCCATCCATTTTCTCAGTCTCTTTCCCTCCTCTTCTTCCCATCCATTTTCTCAGTCTCTTTCCCTCCTCTTCTTCCCATCCATTTTCTCAATCTCTTTCCCTCCTCTTCTTCCCATCCATTTTCTCAGTCTCTTTCCCTCCTCTTCTTCCCATCCTTTTGCTCAGTCTCTTTCCCTCCTCTTCTTTCCATCCATTTTCTTAGTCTCTTTCCCTCCTCTTCTTCCCATCCATTTGCTCAGTCTCTTTCCCTCCTCTTCTTCCCATCCATTTTCTCAGTCTCTTTCCCTCCTCTTCTTCCCATCCATTTTCTCAGTCTCTTTCCCTCCTCTTCTTCCCATCCATTTTCTCAGTCTCTTTCCCTCCTCTTCTTCCCATCCATTTTCTCAATCTCTTTCCCTCCTCTTCTTCCCATCCATTTTCTCTGTCTCTTTCCCTCCTCTTCTTCCCATCCATTTTCTCATTCTCTTTCCCTCCTCTTCTTCCCATCCATTTGCTCAATCTCTTTCCCTCCTCTTCTTCCCATCCATGTTCTCAGTCTCTTTCCCTCCTCTTCTTCCCATCCATTTGCTCAATCTCTTTCCCTCCTCTTCTTCCCATCCATGTTCTCAGTCTCTTTCCCTCCTCTTCTTCCCATCCATTTGCTCAATCTCTTTCCCTCCTCTTCTTTCCATCCATTTTCTCAATCTCTTTCCCTCCTCTTCTTCCCATCCATGTTCTCAATCTCTTTCCCTCCTCTTCTTCCCATCCATTTTCTCAATCTCTTTCCCTCCTCTTCTTTCCATCCATTTTCTCAGTCTCTTTCCCTCCTCTTCTTCCCATCCATTTGCTCAATCTCTTTCCCTCCTCCTCTTCCCATCCTTTTGTTGAGTCTCTTTCCCTCCTCTTCTTCCCATCCATTTTCTCAGTCTCTTTCCCTCCTCTTCTTCCCATCCATTTTCTCTGTCTCTTTCCCTCCTCTTCTTCCCATCCATTTTCTCATTCTCTTTCCCTCCTCTTCTTCCCATCCATTTGCTCAATCTCTTTCCCTCCTCTTCTTCCCATCCATGTTCTCAGTCTCTTTCCCTCCTCTTCTTCCCATCCATTTGCTCAATCTCTTTCCCTCCTCTTCTTCCCATCCATTTTCTCAATCTCTTTCCCTCCTCTTCTTCCCATCCATTTGCTGAGTCTCTTTCCCTCCTCTTCTTCCCATCCATTTGCTCAATCTCTTTCCCCCCTCTTCTTCCCATCCATGTTCTCAGTCTCTTTCCCTCCTCTTCTTCCCATCCATTTGCTCAATCTCATTCCCTCCTCTTCTTTCCATCCATTTTCTCAATCTCTTTCCCTCCTCTTCTTCCCATCCATGTTCTCAATCTCTTTCCCTCCTCTTCTTACCATCCATTTTCTCAATCTCTTTCCCTCCTCTTCTTCCCATCCATTTTTTCAGTCTCTTTCCCTCCTCTTCTTCCCATCCATATTCTCAATCTCTTTCCCTCCTCTTCTTCCCATCCATTTTCTCAGTCTCTTTCCCTCCTCTTCTTCCCATCCATTTGCTCAATCTCTTTCCCTCCTCTTCTTTCCATCCATTTTCTCAATCTCTTTCCCTCCTCTTCTTCCCATCCATGTTCTCAATCTCTTTCCCTCCTCTTCTTACCATCCATTTTCTCAATCTCTTTCCCTCCTCTTCTTCCCATCCATTTTCTCAGTCTCTTTCCCTCCTCTTCTTCCCATCCATTTGCTGAGTCTCTTTCCCTCCTCTTCTTTCCATCCATTTTCTCAGTCTCTTTCCCTCCTCTTCTTCCCATCCATTTGCTCAGTCTCTTTCCCTCCTCTTCTTCCCATCCATTTTCTCAGTCTCTTTCCCTCCTCTTCTTCCCATCCATTTTCTCAGTCTCTTTCCCTCCTCTTCTTCCCATCCATTTTCTCAGTCTCTTTCCCTCCTCTTCTTCCCATCCATTTTCTCAATCTCTTTCCCTCCTCTTCTTCCCATCCATTTTCTCAGTCTCTTTCCCTCCTCTTCTTCCCATCCATTTGCTCAGTCTCTTTCCCTCCTCTTCTTTCCATCCATTTTCTCAGTCTTTTTCCCTCCTCTTCTTCCCATCCATTTGCTCAGTCTCTTTCCCTCCTCTTCTTCCCATCCATTTTCTCAGTCTCTTTCCCTCCTCTTCTTCCCATCCATTTTCTCAGTCTCTTTCCCTCCTCTTCTTCCCATCCATTTTCTCAGTCTCTTTCCCTCCTCTTCTTCCCATCCATTTTCTCAATCTCTTTCCCTCCTCTTCTTCCCATCCATTTTCTCAGTCTCTTTCCCTCCTCTTCTTCCCATCCATTTGCTCAATCTCTTTCCCTCCTCTTCTTTCCATCCATTTTCTCAATCTCTTTCCCTCCTCTTCTTCCCATCCATGTTCTCAATCTCTTTCCCTCCTCTTCTTCCCATCCATTTTCTCAGTCTCTTTCCCTCCTCTTCTTCCCATCCATTTTCTCAGTCTCTTTCCCTCCTCTTCTTCCCATCCATTTTCTCAGTCTCTTTCCCTCCTCTTCTTCCCATCCATTTGCTCAATCTCTTTCCCTCCTCTTCTTCCCATCCATGTTCTCAGTCTCTTTCCCTCCTCTTCTTCCCATCCATTTGCTCAATCTCTTTCCCTCCTCTTCTTTCCATCCATTTTCTCAATCTCTTTCCCTCCTCTTCTTCCCATCCATGTTCTCAATCTCTTTCCCTCCTCTTCTTCCCATCCATTTTCTCAATCTCTTTCCCTCCTCTTCTTCCCATCCATTTTCTCAGTCTCTTCCCCTCCTCTTCTTCCCATCCATTTGCTCAATCTCTTTCCCTCCTCTTCTTTCCATCCATTTTCTCAATCTCTTTCCCTCCTCTTCTTCCCATCCATGTTCTCAATCTCTTTCCCTCCTCTTCTTACCATCCATTTTCTCAATCTCTTTCCCTCCTCTTCTTCCCATCCTTTTGCTGAGTCTCTTTCCCTCCTCTTCTTCCCATCCATTTTCTCAGTCTCTTTCCCTCCTCTTCATCCCATCCATTTGCTCAATCTCTTTCCCTCCTCTTCTTCCCATCCATGTTCTCTGTCTCTTTCCCTCCTCTTCTTCCCATCCATTTGCTCAATCTCTTTCCCTCCTCTTCTTCCCATCCATGTTCTCAATCTCTTTCCCTCCTCTTCTTCCCATCCATTTTCTCAATCTCTTTCCCTCCTCTTCTTCCCATCCATTTTCTCAGTCTCTTTCCCTCCTCTTCTTCCCATCCATTTGCTCAATCTCTTTCCCTCCTCTTCTTTCCATCCATTTTCTCAATCTCTTTCCCTCCTCTTCTTCCCATCCATTTTCTCAGTCTCTTTCCCTCCTCTTCTTCCCATCCATTTTCTCAGTCTCTTTCCCTCCTCTTCTTCCCATCCATTTTCTCAGTCTCTTTCCCTCCTCTTCTTCCCATCCATTTTCTCAGTCTCTTTCCCTCCTCTTCTTCCCATCCATTTGCTCAGTCTCTTTCCCTCCTCTTCTTTCCATCCATTTTCTCAGTCTCTTTCCCTCCTCTTCTTCCCATCCATTTGCTCAGTCTCTTTCCCTCCTCTTCTTCCCATCCATTTTCTCAGTCTCTTTCCCTCCTCTTCTTCCCATCCATTTTCTCAGTCTCTTTCCCTCCTCTTCTTCCCATCCATTTTCTCAGTCTCTTTCCCTCCTCTTCTTCCCATCCATTTTCTCAATCTCTTTCCCTCCTCTTCTTCCCATCCATTTTCTCAGTCTCTTTCCCTCCTCTTCTTCCCATCCATTTGCTCAATCTCTTTCCCTCCTCTTCTTTCCATCCATTTTCTCAATCTCTTTCCCTCCTCATCTTCCCATCCATGTTCTCAATCTCTTTCCCTCCTCTTCTTCCCATCCATTTTCTCAGTCTCTTTCCCTCCTCTTCTTCCCATCCATTTTCTCAGTCTCTTTCCCTCCTCTTCTTCCCATCCATTTTCTCAGTCTCTTTCCCTCCTCTTCTTCCCATCCATTTGCTCAATCTCTTTCCCTCCTCTTCTTTCCATCCATTTTCTCAATCTCTTTCCCTCCTCTTCTTCCCATCCATGTTCTCAATCTCTTTCCCTCCTCTTCTTCCCATCCATTTTCTCAATCTCTTTCCCTCCTCTTCTTCCCATCCATTTTCTCAGTCTCTTTCCTTCCTCTTCTTCCCATCCATTTGCTCAATCTCTTTCCCTCCTCTTCTTTCCATCCATTTTCTCAATCTCTTTCCCTCCTCTTCTTACCATCCATTTTCTCAATCTCTTTCCCTCCTCTTCTTCCCATCCTTTTGCTGAGTCTCTTTCCCTCCTCTTCTTCCCATCCATTTTCTCTGTCTCTTTCCCTCCTCTTCATCCCATCCATTTGCTCAATCTCTTTCCCTCCTCTTCTTCCCATCCATGTTCTCAGTCTCTTTCCCTCCTCTTCTTCCCATCCATTTGCTCAATCTCTTTCCCTCCTCTTCTTTCCATCCATTTTCTCAATCTCTTTCCCTCCTCTTCTTCCCATCCATGTTCTCAATCTCTTTCCCTCCTCTTCTTCCCATCCATTTTCTCAATCTCTTTCCCTCCTCTTCTTCCCATCCATTTGCTCAATCTCTTTCCCTCCTCTTCTTTCCATCCATTTTCTCAATCTCTTTCCCTCCTCTTCTTCCCATCCATTTTCTCAGTCTCTTTCCCTCCTCTTCTTCCCATCCATTTTCTCAGTCTCTTTCCCTCCTCTTCTTCCCATCCATTTTCTCAGTCTCTTTCCCTCCTCTTCTTCCCATCCATTTTCTCAGTCTCTTTCCCTCCTCTTCTTCCCATCCATTTTCTCAGTCTCTTTCCCTCCTCTTCTTCCCATCCATTTTCTCAATCTCTTTCCCTCCTCTTCTTCCCATCCATTTTCTCAGTCTCTTTCCCTCCTCTTCTTCCCATCCATTTGCTCAGTCTCTTTCCCTCCTCTTCTTTCCATCCATTTTCTCAGTCTCTTTCCCTCCTCTTCTTCCCATCCATTTTCTCAGTCTCTTTCCCTCCTCTTCTTCCCATCCATTTTCTCAGTCTCTTTCCCTCCTCTTCTTCCCATCCATTTGCTCAATCTCTTTCCCTCCTCTTCTTCCCATCCATGTTCTCAGTCTCTTTCCCTCCTCTTCTTCCCATCCATTTGCTCAATCTCTTTCCCTCCTCTTCTTTCCATCCATTTTCTCAATCTCTTTCCCTCCTCTTCTTCCCATCCATGTTCTCAATCTCTTTCCCTCCTCTTCTTCCCATCCATTTTCTCAATCTCTTTCCCTCCTCTTCTTCCCATCCATTTTCTCAGTCTCTTCCCCTCCTCTTCTTCCCATCCATTTGCTCAATCTCTTTCCCTCCTCTTCTTTCCATCCATTTTCTCAATCTCTTTCCCTCCTCTTCTTCCCATCCATGTTCTCAATCTCTTTCCCTCCTCTTCTTACCATCCATTTTCTCAGTCTCTTTCCCTCCTCTTCTTCCCATCCTTTTGCTGAGTCTCTTTCCCTCCTCTTCTTCCCATCCATTTTCTCAGTCTCTTTCCCTCCTCTTCATCCCATCCATTTGCTCAATCTCTTTCCCTCCTCTTCTTCCCATCCATGTTCTCAGTCTCTTTCCCTCCTCTTCTTCCCATCCATTTGCTCAATCTCTTTCCCTCCTCTTCTTTCCATCCATTTTCTCAATCTCTTTCCCTCCTCTTCTTCCCATCCATGTTCTCAATCTCTTTCCCTCCTCTTCTTCCCATCCATTTTCTCAATCTCTTTCCCTCCTCTTCTTCCCATCCATTTCCTCAGTCTCTTTCCCTCCTCTTCTTCCCATCCATTTGCTCAATCTCTTTCCCTCCTCTTCTTTCCATCCATTTTCTCAATCTCTTTCCCTCCTCTTCTTCCCATCCATTTTCTCAGTCTCTTTCCCTCCTCTTCTTCCCATCCATTTTCTCAGTCTCTTTCCCTCCTCTTCTTCCCATCCATTTTCTCAGTCTCTTTCCCTCCTCTTCTTCCCATCCATTTTCTCAGTCTCTTTCCCTCCTCTTCTTCCCATCCATTTGCTCAGTCTCTTTCCCTCCTCTTCTTTCCATCCATTTTCTCAGTCTCTTTCCCTCCTCTTCTTCCCATCCATTTGCTCAGTCTCTTTCCCTCCTCTTCTTCCCATCCATTTTCTCAGTCTCTTTCCCTCCTCTTCTTCCCATCCATTTTCTCAGTCTCTTTCCCTCCTCTTCTTCCCATCCATTTTCCCAGTCTCTTTCCCTCCTCTTCTTCCCATCCATTTTCTCAATCTCTTTCCCTCCTCTTCTTCCCATCCATTTTCTCAGTCTCTTTCCCTCCTCTTCTTCCCATCCATTTGCTCAATCTCTTTCCCTCCTCTTCTTTCCATCCATTTTCTCAATCTCTTTCCCTCCTCATCTTCCCATCCATGTTCTCAATCTCTTTCCCTCCTCTTCTTCCCATCCATTTTCTCAGTCTCTTTCCCTCCTCTTCTTCCCATCCATTTTCTCAGTCTCTTTCCCTCCTCTTCTTCCCATCCATTTTCTCAGTCTCTTTCCCTCCTCTTCTTCCCATTCATTTGCTCAATCTCTTTCCCTCCTCTTCTTCCCATCCATGTTCTCAGTCTCTTTCCCTCCTCTTCTTCCCATCCATTTGCTCAATCTCTTTCCCTCCTCTTCTTTCCATCCATTTTCTCAATCTCTTTCCCTCCTCTTCTTCCCATCCATGTTCTCAATCTCTTTCCCTCCTCTTCTTCCCATCCATTTGCTCAATCTCTTTCCCTCCTCTTCTTTCCATCCATTTTCTCAATCTCTTTCCCTCCTCTTCTTACCATCCATTTTCTCAATCTCTTTCCCTCCTCTTCTTCCCATCCTTTTGCTGAGTCTCTTTCCCTCCTCTTCTTCCCATCCATTTTCTCAGTCTCTTTCCCTCTTCTTCATCCCATCCATTTGCTCAATCTCTTTCCCTCCTCTTCTTCCCATCCATGTTCTCAGTCTCTTTCCCTCCTCTTCTTCCCATCCATTTGCTCAATCTCTTTCCCTCCTCTTCTTTCCATCCATTTTCTCAATCTCTTTCCCTCCTCTTCTTCCCATCCATGTTCTCAATCTCTTTCCCTCCTCTTCTTCCCATCCATTTTCTCAATCTCTTTCCCTCCTCTTCTTCCCATCCATTTTCTCAGTCTCTTTCCCTCCTCTTCTTCCCATCCATTTGCTCAATCTCTTTCCCTCCTCTTCTTTCCATCCATTTTCTCAATCTCTTTCCCTCCTCTTCTTCCCATCCATTTTCTCAGTCTCTTTCCCTCCTCTTCTTCCCATCCATTTTCTCAGTCTCTTTCCCTCCTCTTCTTCCCATCCATTTTCTCAGTCTCTTTCCCTCCTCTTCTTCCCATCCATTTTCTCAGTCTCTTTCCCTCCTCTTCTTCCCATCCATTTGCTCAGTCTCTTTCCCTCCTCTTCTTTCCATCCATTTTCTCAGTCTCTTTCCCTCCTCTTCTTCCCATCCATTTGCTCAGTCTCTTTCCCTCCTCTTCTTTCCATCCATTTTCTCAATCTCTTTCCCTCCTCTTCTTCCCATCCATGTTCTCAATCTCTTTCCCTCCTCTTCTTCCCATCCATTTTCTCAATCTCTTTCCCTCCTCTTCTTCCCATCCATTTTCTCAGTCTCTTTCCTTCCTCTTCTTCCCATCCATTTGCTCAATCTCTTTCCCTCCTCTTCTTTCCATCAATTTTCTCAATCTCTTTCCCTCCTCTTCTTCCCATCCATGTTCTCAATCTCTTTCCCTCCTCATCTTACCATCCATTTTCTCAATCTCTTTCCCTCCTCTTCTTCCCATCCTTTTGCTGAGTCTCTTTCCCTCCTCTTCTTCCCATCCATTTTCTCAGTCTCTTTCCCTCCTCTTCATCCCATCCATTTGCTCAATCTCTTTCCCTCCTCTTCTTCCTATCCATGTTCTCAGTCTCTTTCCCTCCTCTTCTTCCCATCCATTTGCTCAATCTCTTTCCCTCCTCTTCTTTCCATCCATTTTCTCAATCTCTTTCCCTCCTCTTCTTCCCATCCATGTTCTCAATCTCTTTCCCTCCTCTTCTTCCCATCCATTTTCTCAATCTCTTTCCCTCCTCTTCTTCCCATCCATTTTCTCAGTCTCTTTCTCTCCTCTTCTTCCCATCCATTTGCTCAATCTCTTTCCCTCCTCTTCTTTCCATCCATTTTCTCAATCTCTTTCTCTCCTCTTCTTCCCATCCATTTTCTCAGTCTCTTTCCCTCCTCTTCTTTCCATCCATTTGCTCAGTCTCTTTCCCTCCTCTTCTTCCCATCCATTTGCTCAGTCTCTTTCCCTCCTCTTCTTTCCATCCATTTTCTCAGTCTCTTTCCCTCCTCTTCTTCCCATCCATTTGCTCAGTCTCTTTCCCTCCTCTTCTTCCCATCCATTTTCTCAGTCTCTTTCCCTCCTCTTCTTCCCATCCATTTTCTCAGTCTCTTTCCCTCCTCTTCTTCCCATCCATTTTCTCAGTCTCTTTCCCTCCTCTTCTTCCCATCCATTTTCTCAGTCTCTTTCCCTCCTCTTCTTCCCATCCATTTGCTCAATCTCTTTCCCTCCTCTTCTTTCCATCCATTTTCTCAATCTCTTTCCCTCCTCATCTTCCCATCCATGTTCTCAATCTCTTTCCCTCCTCTTCTTCCCATCCATTTTCTCAGTCTCTTTCCCTCCTCTTCTTCCCATCCATTTTCTCAGTCTCTTTCCCTCCTCTTCTTCCCATCCATTTTCTCAGTCTCTTTCCCTCCTCTTCTTCCCATCCATTTGCTCAATCTCTTTCCCTCCTCTTCTTCCCATCCATGTTCTCAGTCTCTTTCCCTCCTCTTCTTCCCATCCATTTGCTCAATCTCTTTCCCTCCTCTTCTTCCCATCCATTTTCTCAATCTCTTTCCCTCCTCTTCTTCCCATCCATGTTCTCAATCTCTTTCCCTCCTCTTCTTCCCATCCATTTTCTCAGTCTCTTTCCCTCCTCTTCTTCCCATCCATTTTCTCAGTCTCTTTCCTTCCTCTTCTTCCCATCCATTTGCTCAATCTCTTTCCCTCCTCTTCTTTCCATCCATTTTCTCAATCTCTTTCCCTCCTCTTCTTCCCATCCATGTTCTCAATCTCTTTCCCTCCTCTTCTTACCATCCATTTTCTCAATCTCTTTCCCTCCTCTTCTTCCCATCCTTTTGCTGAGTCTCTTTCCCTCCTCTTCTTCCCATCCATTTTCTCAGTCTCTTTCCCTCCTCTTCATCCCATCCATTTGCTCAATCTCTTTCCCTCCTCTTCTTCCTATCCATGTTCTCAGTCTCTTTCCCTCCTCTTCTTCCCATCCATTTGCTCAATCTCTTTCCCTCCTCTTCTTTCCATCCATTTTCTCAATCTCTTTCCCTCCTCTTCTTCCCATCCATGTTCTCAATCTCTTTCCATCCTCTTCTTCCCATCCATTTTCTCAATCTCTTTCCCTCCTCTTCTTCCCATCCATTTTCTCAGTCTCTTTCCCTCCTCTTCTTCCCATCCATTTGCTCAATCTCTTTCCCTCCTCTTCTTTCCATCCATTTTCTCAATCTCTTTCTCTCCTCTTCTTCCCATCCATTTTCTCAGTCTCTTTCCCTCCTCTTCTTCCCATCCATTTTCTCAGTCTCTTTCCCTCCTCTTCTTCCCATCCATTTGCTCAGTCTCTTTCCCTCCTCTTCTTTCCATCCATTTTCTCAGTCTCTTTCCCTCCTCTTCTTCCCATCCATTTGCTCAGTCTCTTTCCCTCCTCTTCTTCCCATCCATTTTCTCAGTCTCTTTCCCTCCTCTTCTTCCCATCCATTTTCTCAGTCTCTTTCCCTCCTCTTCTTCCCATCCATTTTCTCAGTCTCTTTCCCTCCTCTTCTTCCCATCCATTTTCTCGGTCTCTTTCCCTCCTCTTCTTCCCATCCATTTTCTCAGTCTCTTTCCCTCCTCTTCTTCCCATCCATTTTCTCAGTCTCTTTCCCTCCTCTTCTTCCCATCCATTTGCTCAGTCTCTTTCCCTCCTCTTCTTCCCATCCATTTTCTCAGTCTCTTTCCCTCCTCTTCATCCCATCCATTTGCTCAATCTCTTTCCCTCCTCTTCTTCCTATCCATGTTCTTAGTCTCTTTCCCTCCTCTTCTTCCCATCCATTTGCTCAATCTCTTTCCCTCCTCTTCTTTCCATCCATTTTCTCAATCTCTTTCGTCCTCTTCTTCCCATCCATTTTCTCAATCTCTTTCCCTCCTCTTCTTCCCATCCATTTTCTCAGTCTCTTTCCCTCCTCTTCTTCCCATCCATTTGCTCAATCTCTTTCCCTCCTCTTCTTTCCATCCATTTTCTCAATCTCTTTCTCTCCTCTTCTTCCCATCCATTTTCTCAGTCTCTTTCCCTCCTCTTCTTCCCATCCATTTTCTCAGTCTCTTTCCCTCCTCTTCTTCCCATCCATTTGCTCAGTCTCTTTCCCTCCTCTTCTTCCCATCCATTTTCTCAGTCTCTTTCCCTCCTCTTCTTCCCATCCATTTTCTCAGTCTCTTTCCCTCCTCTTCTTCCCATCCATTTTCTCAGTCTCTTTCCCTCCTCTTCTTCCCATCCATTTTCTCAATCTCTTTCCCTCCTCTTCTTCCCATCCATTTTCTCAGTCTCTTTCCCTCCTCTTCTTCCCATCCATTTGCTCAATCTCTTTCCCTCCTCTTCTTTCCATCCATTTTCTCAATCTCTTTCCCTCCTCTTCTTCCCATCCATGTTCTCAATCTCTTTCCCTCCTCTTCTTCCCATCCATTTTCTCAGTCTCTTTCCCTCCTCTTCTTCCCATCCATTTTCTCAGTCTCTTTCCCTCCTCTTCTTCCCATCTATTTTCTCAGTCTCTTTCCCTCCTCTTCTTCCCATCCATTTGCTCAATCTCTTTCCCTCCTCTTCTTCCCATCCATGTTCTCAGTCTCTTTCCCTCCTCTTCTTCCCATCCATTTGCTCAATCTCTTTCCCTCCTCTTCTTTCCATCCATTTTCTCAATCTCTTTCCCTCCTCTTCTTCCCATCCATTTTCTCAATCTCTTTCCCTCCTCTTCTTCCCATCCATTTTCTCAATCTCTTTCCCTCCTCTTCTTCCCATCCATTTTCTCAGTCTCTTCCCCTCCTCTTCTTCCCATCCATTTGCTCAATCTCTTTCCCTCCTCTTCTTTCCATCCATTTTCTCAATCTCTTTCCCTCCTCTTCTTCCCATCCATGTTCTCAATCTCTTTCCCTCCTCTTCTTACCATCCATTTTCTCAATCTCTTTCCCTCCTCTTCTTCCCATCCTTTTGCTGAGTCTCTTTCCCTCCTCTTCTTCCCATCCATTTTCTCAGTCTCTTTCCCTGCTCTTCATCCCATCCATTTGCTCAATCTCTTTCCCTCCTCTTCTTCCCATCCATGTTCTCAGTCTCTTTCCCTCCTCTTCTTCCCATCCATTTGCTCAATCTCTTTCCCTCCTCTTCTTTCCATCCATTTTCTCAATCTCTTTCCCTCCTCTTCTTCCCATCCATGTTCTCAATCTCTTTCCCTCCTCTTCTTCCCATCCATTTTCTCAATCTCTTTCCCTCCTCTTCTTCCCATCCATTTTCTCAGTCTCTTTCCCTCCTCTTCTTCCCATCCATTTGCTCAATCTCTTTCCCTCCTCTTCTTTCCATCCATTTTCTCAATCTCTTTCCCTCCTCTTCTTCCCATCCATTTTCTCAGTCTCTTTCCCTCCTCTTCTTCCCATCCATTTTCTCAGTCTCTTTCCCTCCTCTTCTTCCCATCCATTTTCTCAGTCTCTTTCCCTCCTCTTCTTCCCATCCATTTTCTCAGTCTCTTTCCCTCCTCTTCTTCCCATCCATTTGCTCAGTCTCTTTCCCTCCTCTTCTTTCCATCCATTTTCTCAGTCTCTTTCCCTCCTCTTCTTCCCATCCATTTGCTCAGTCTCTTTCCCTCCTCTTCTTCCCATCCATTTTCTCAGTCTCTTTCCCTCCTCTTCTTCCCATCCATTTTCTCAGTCTCTTTCCCTCCTCTTCTTCCCATCCATTTTCTCAGTCTCTTTCCCTCCTCTTCTTCCCATCCATTTTCTCAATCTCTTTCCCTCCTCTTCTTCCCATCCATTTTCTCAGTCTCTTTCCCTCCTCTTCTTCCCATCCATTTGCTCAATCTCTTTCCCTCCTCTTCTTTCCATCCATTTTCTCAATCTCTTTCCCTCCTCATCTTCCCATCCATGTTCTCAATCTCTTTCCCTCCTCTTCTTCCCATCCATTTTCTCAGTCTCTTTCCCTCCTCTTCTTCCCATCCATTTTCTCAGTCTCTTTCCCTCCTCTTCTTCCCATCCATTTTCTCAGTCTCTTTCCCTCCTCTTCTTCCCATTCATTTGCTCAATCTCTTTCCCTCCTCTTCTTCCCATCCATGTTCTCAGTCTCTTTCCCTCCTCTTCTTCCCATCCATTTGCTCAATCTCTTTCCCTCCTCTTCTTTCCATCCATTTTCTCAATCTCTTTCCCTCCTCTTCTTCCCATCCATGTTCTCAATCTCTTTCCCTCCTCTTCTTCCCATCCATTTGCTCAATCTCTTTCCCTCCTCTTCTTTCCATCCATTTTCTCAATCTCTTTCCCTCCTCTTCTTACCATCCATTTTCTCAATCTCTTTCCCTCCTCTTCTTCCCATCCTTTTGCTGAGTCTCTTTCCCTCCTCTTCTTCCCATCCATATTCTCAGTCTCTTTCCCTCCTCTTCATCCCATCCATTTGCTCAATCTCTTTCCCTCCTCTTCTTCCCATCCATGTTCTCAGTCTCTTTCCCTCCTCTTCTTCCCATCCATTTGCTCAATCTCTTTCCCTCCTCTTCTTTCCATCCATTTTCTCAATCTCTTTCCCTCCTCTTCTTCCCATCCATGTTCTCAATCTCTTTCCCTCCTCTTCTTCCCATCCATTTTCTCAATCTCTTTCCCTCCTCTTCTTCCCATCCATTTTCTCAGTCTCTTTCCCTCCTCTTCTTCCCATCCATTTGCTCAATCTCTTTCCCTCCTCTTCTTTCCATCCATTTTCTCAATCTCTTTCCCTCCTCTTCTTCCCATCCATTTTCTCAGTCTCTTTCCCTCCTCTTCTTCCCATCCATTTTCTCAGTCTCTTTCCCTCCTCTTCTTCCCATCCATTTTCTCAGTCTCTTTCCCTCCTCTTCTTCCCATCCATTTTCTCAGTCTCTTTCCCTCCTCTTCTTCCCATCCATTTGCTCAGTCTCTTTCCCTCCTCTTCTTTCCATCCATTTTCTCAGTCTCTTTCCCTCCTCTTCTTCCCATCCATTTGCTCAGTCTCTTTCCCTCCTCTTCTTTCCATCAATTTTCTCAATCTCTTTCCCTCCTCTTCTTCCCATCCATGTTCTCAATCTCTTTCCCTCCTCTTCTTCCCATCCATTTTCTCAATCTCTTTCCCTCCTCTTCTTCCCATCCATTTTCTCAGTCTCTTTCCTTCCTCTTCTTCCCATCCATTTGCTCAATCTCTTTCCCTCCTCTTCTTTCCATCAATTTTCTCAATCTCTTTCCCTCCTCTTCTTCCCATCCATGTTCTCAATCTCTTTCCCTCCTCATCTTACCATCCATTTTCTCAATCTCTTTCCCTCCTCTTCTTCCCATCCTTTTGCTGAGTCTCTTTCCCTCCTCTTCTTCCCATCCATTTTCTCAGTCTCTTTCCCTCCTCTTCATCCCATCCATTTGCTCAATCTCTTTCCCTCCTCTTCTTCCTATCCATGTTCTCAGTCTCTTTCCCTCCTCTTCTTCCCATCCATTTGCTCAATCTCTTTCCCTCCTCTTCTTTCCATCCATTTTCTCAATCTCTTTCCCTCCTCTTCTTCCCATCCATGTTCTCAATCTCTTTCCCTCCTCTTCTTCCCATCCATTTTCTCAATCTCTTTCCCTCCTCTTCTTCCCATCCATTTTCTCAGTCTCTTTCTCTCCTCTTCTTCCCATCCATTTGCTCAATCTCTTTCCCTCCTCTTCTTTCCATCCATTTTCTCAATCTCTTTCTCTCCTCTTCTTCCCATCCATTTTCTCAGTCTCTTTCCCTCCTCTTCTTTCCATCCATTTGCTCAGTCTCTTTCCCTCCTCTTCTTCCCATCCATTGGCTCAGTCTCTTTCCCTCCTCTTCTTTCCATCCCTTTTCTCAGTCTCTTTCCCTCCTCTTCTTCCCATCCATTTGCTCAGTCTCTTTCCCTCCTCTTCTTCCCATCCATTTTCTCAGTCTCTTTCCCTCCTCTTCTTCCCATCCATTTTCTCAGTCTCTTTCCCTCCTCTTCTTCCCATCCATTTTCTCAGTCTCTTTCCCTCCTCTTCTTCCCATCCATTTTCTCAGTCTCTTTCCCTCCTCTTCTTCCCATCCATTTGCTCAATCTCTTTCCCTCCTCTTCTTTCCATCCATTTTCTCAATCTCTTTCCCTCCTCATCTTCCCATCCATGTTCTCAATCTCTTTCCCTCCTCTTCTTCCCATCCATTTTCTCAGTCTCTTTCCCTCCTCTTCTTCCCATCCATTTTCTCAGTCTCTTTCCCTCCTCTTCTTCCCATCCATTTTCTCAGTCTCTTTCCCTCCTCTTCTTCCCATCCATTTGCTCAATCTCTTTCCCTCCTCTTCTTCCCATCCATGTTCTCAGTCTCTTTCCCTCCTCTTCTTCCCATCCATTTGCTCAATCTCTTTCCCTCCTCTTCTTCCCATCCATTTTCTCAATCTCTTTCCCTCCTCTTCTTCCCATCCATGTTCTCAATCTCTTTCCCTCCTCTTCTTCCCATCCATTTTCTCAGTCTCTTTCCCTCCTCTTCTTCCCATCCATTTTCTCAGTCTCTTTCCTTCCTCTTCTTCCCATCCATTTGCTCAATCTCTTTCCCTCCTCTTCTTTCCATCCATTTTCTCAATCTCTTTCCCTCCTCTTCTTCCCATCCATGTTCTCAATCTCTTTCCCTCCTCTTCTTACCATCCATTTTCTCAATCTCTTTCCCTCCTCTTCTTCCCATCCTTTTGCTGAGTCTCTTTCCCTCCTCTTCTTCCCATCCATTTTCTCAGTCTCTTTCCCTCCTCTTCATCCCATCCATTTGCTCAATCTCTTTCCCTCCTCTTCTTCCTATCCATGTTCTCAGTCTCTTTCCCTCCTCTTCTTCCCATCCATTTGCTCAATCTCTTTCCCTCCTCTTCTTTCCATCCATTTTCTCAATCTCTTTCCCTCCTCTTCTTCCCATCCATGTTCTCAATCTCTTTCCCTCCTCTTCTTCCCATCCATTTTCTCAATCTCTTTCCCTCCTCTTCTTCCCATCCATTTTCTCAGTCTCTTTCCCTCCTCTTCTTCCCATCCATTTGCTCAATCTCTTTCCCTCCTCTTCTTTCCATCCATTTTCTCAATCTCTTTCTCTCCTCTTCTTCCCATTTATTTTCTCAGTCTCTTTCCCTCCTCTTCTTCCCATCCATTTTCTCAGTCTCTTTCCCTCCTCTTCTTCCCATCCATTTGCTCAGTCTCTTTCCCTCCTCTTCTTTCCATCCATTTTCTCAGTCTCTTTCCCTCCTCTTCTTCCCATCCATTTGCTCAGTCTCTTTCCCTCCTCTTCTTCCCATCCATTTTCTCAGTCTCTTTCCCTCCTCTTCTTCCCATCCATTTTCTCAGTCTCTTTCCCTCCTCTTCTTCCCATCCATTTTCTCAGTCTCTTTCCCTCCTCTTCTTCCCATCCATTTTCTCGGTCTCTTTCCCTCCTCTTCTTCCCATCCATTTTCTCAGTCTCTTTCCCTCCTCTTCTTCCCATCCATTTTCTCAGTCTCTTTCCCTCCTCTTCTTCCCATCCATTTGCTCAGTCTCTTTCCCTCCTCTTCTTCCCATCCATTTTCTCAGTCTCTTTCCCTCCTCTTCATCCCATCCATTTGCTCAATCTCTTTCCCTCCTCTTCTTCCTATCCATGTTCTTAGTCTCTTTCCCTCCTCTTCTTCCCATCCATTTGCTCAATCTCTTTCCCTCCTCTTCTTTCCATCCATTTTCTCAATCTCTTTCGTCCTCTTCTTCCCATCCATTTTCTCAATCTCTTTCCCTCCTCTTCTTCCCATCCATTTTCTCAGTCTCTTTCCCTCCTCTTCTTCCCATCCATTTGCTCAATCTCTTTCCCTCCTCTTCTTTCCATCCATTTTCTCAATCTCTTTCTCTCCTCTTCTTCCCATCCATTTTCTCAGTCTCTTTCCCTCCTCTTCTTCCCATCCATTTTCTCAGTCTCTTTCCCTCCTCTTCTTCCCATCCATTTGCTCAGTCTCTTTCCCTCCTCTTCTTCCCATCCATTTTCTCAGTCTCTTTCCCTCCTCTTCTTCCCATCCATTTTCTCAGTCTCTTTCCCTCCTCTTCTTCCCATCCATTTTCTCAGTCTCTTTCCCTCCTCTTCTTCCCATCCATTTTCTCAATCTCTTTCCCTCCTCTTCTTCCCATCCATTTTCTCAGTCTCTTTCCCTCCTCTTCTTCCCATCCATTTGCTCAATCTCTTTCCCTCCTCTTCTTTCCATCCATTTTCTCAATCTCTTTCCCTCCTCTTCTTCCCATCCATGTTCTCAATCTCTTTCCCTCCTCTTCTTCCCATCCATTTTCTCAGTCTCTTTCCCTCCTCTTCTTCCCATCCATTTTCTCAGTCTCTTTCCCTCCTCTTCTTCCCATCTATTTTCTCAGTCTCTTTCCCTCCTCTTCTTCCCATCCATTTGCTCAATCTCTTTCCCTCCTCTTCTTCCCATCCATGTTCTCAGTCTCTTTCCCTCCTCTTCTTCCCATCCATTTGCTCAATCTCTTTCCCTCCTCTTCTTTCCATCCATTTTCTCAATCTCTTTCCCTCCTCTTCTTCCCATCCATTTTCTCAATCTCTTTCCCTCCTCTTCTTCCCATCCATTTTCTCAATCTCTTTCCCTCCTCTTCTTCCCATCCATTTTCTCAGTCTCTTCCCCTCCTCTTCTTCCCATCCATTTGCTCAATCTCTTTCCCTCCTCTTCTTTCCATCCATTTTCTCAATCTCTTTCCCTCCTCTTCTTCCCATCCATGTTCTCAATCTCTTTCCCTCCTCTTCTTACCATCCATTTTCTCAATCTCTTTCCCTCCTCTTCTTCCCATCCTTTTGCTGAGTCTCTTTCCCTCCTCTTCTTCCCATCCATTTTCTCAGTCTCTTTCCCTCCTCTTCATCCCATCCATTTGCTCAATCTCTTTCCCTCCTCTTCTTCCCATCCATGTTCTCAGTCTCTTTCCCTCCTCTTCTTCCCATCCATTTGCTCAATCTCTTTCCCTCCTCTTCTTTCCATCCATTTTCTCAATCTCTTTCCCTCCTCTTCTTCCCATCCATGTTCTCAATCTCTTTCCCTCCTCTTCTTCCCATCCATTTTCTCAATCTCTTTCCCTCCTCTTCTTCCCATCCATTTTCTCAGTCTCTTTCCCTCCTCTTCTTCCCATCCATTTGCTCAATCTCTTTCCCTCCTCTTCTTTCCATCCATTTTCTCAATCTCTTTCCCTCCTCTTCTTCCCATCCATTTTCTCAGTCTCTTTCCCTCCTCTTCTTCCCATCCATTTTCTCAGTCTCTTTCCCTCCTCTTCTTCCCATCCATTTTCTCAGTCTCTTTCCCTCCTCTTCTTCCCATCCATTTTCTCAGTCTCTTTCCCTCCTCTTCTTCCCATCCATTTGCTCAGTCTCTTTCCCTCCTCTTCTTTCCATCCATTTTCTCAGTCTCTTTCCCTCCTCTTCTTCCCATCCATTTGCTCAGTCTCTTTCCCTCCTCTTCTTCCCATCCATTTTCTCAGTCTCTTTCCCTCCTCTTCTTCCCATCCATTTTCTCAGTCTCTTTCCCTCCTCTTCTTCCCATCCATTTTCTCAGTCTCTTTCCCTCCTCTTCTTCCCATCCATTTTCTCAATCTCTTTCCCTCCTCTTCTTCCCATCCATTTTCTCAGTCTCTTTCCCTCCTCTTCTTCCCATCCATTTGCTCAATCTCTTTCCCTCCTCTTCTTTCCATCCATTTTCTCAATCTCTTTCCCTCCTCATCTTCCCATCCATGTTCTCAATCTCTTTCCCTCCTCTTCTTCCCATCCATTTTCTCAGTCTCTTTCCCTCCTCTTCTTCCCATCCATTTTCTCAGTCTCTTTCCCTCCTCTTCTTCCCATCCATTTTCTCAGTCTCTTTCCCTCCTCTTCTTCCCATTCATTTGCTCAATCTCTTTCCCTCCTCTTCTTCCCATCCATGTTCTCAGTCTCTTTCCCTCCTCTTCTTCCCATCCATTTGCTCAATCTCTTTCCCTCCTCTTCTTTCCATCCATTTTCTCAATCTCTTTCCCTCCTCTTCTTCCCATCCATGTTCTCAATCTCTTTCCCTCCTCTTCTTCCCATCCATTTGCTCAATCTCTTTCCCTCCTCTTCTTTCCATCCATTTTCTCAATCTCTTTCCCTCCTCTTCTTACCATCCATTTTCTCAATCTCTTTCCCTCCTCTTCTTCCCATCCTTTTGCTGAGTCTCTTTCCCTCCTCTTCTTCCCATCCATTTTCTCAGTCTCTTTCCCTCCTCTTCATCCCATCCATTTGCTCAATCTCTTTCCCTCCTCTTCTTCCCATCCATGTTCTCAGTCTCTTTCCCTCCTCTTCTTCCCATCCATTTGCTCAATCTCTTTCCCTCCTCTTCTTTCCATCCATTTTCTCAATCTCTTTCCCTCCTCTTCTTCCCATCCATGTTCTCAATCTCTTTCCCTCCTCTTCTTCCCATCCATTTTCTCAATCTCTTTCCCTCCTCTTCTTCCCATCCATTTTCTCAGTCTCTTTCCCTCCTCTTCTTCCCATCCATTTGCTCAATCTCTTTCCCTCCTCTTCTTTCCATCCATTTTCTCAATCTCTTTCCCTCCTCTTCTTCCCATCCATTTTCTCAGTCTCTTTCCCTCCTCTTCTTCCCATCCATTTTCTCAGTCTCTTTCCCTCCTCTTCTTCCCATCCATTTTCTCAGTCTCTTTCCCTCCTCTTCTTCCCATCCATTTTCTCAGTCTCTTTCCCTCCTCTTCTTCCCATCCATTTGCTCAGTCTCTTTCCCTCCTCTTCTTTCCATCCATTTTCTCAGTCTCTTTCCCTCCTCTTCTTCCCATCCATTTGCTCAGTCTCTTTCCCTCCTCTTCTTCCCATCCATTTTCTCAGTCTCTTTCCCTCCTCTTCTTCCCATCCATTTTCTCAGTCTCTTTCCCTCCTCTTCTTCCCATCCATTTTCTCAGTCTCTTTCCCTCCTCTTCTTCCCATCCATTTTCTCAATCTCTTTCCCTCCTCTTCTTCCCATCCATTTTCTCAGTCTCTTTCCCTCCTCTTCTTCCCATCCATTTGCTCAATCTCTTTCCCTCCTCTTCTTTCCATCCATTTTCTCAATCTCTTTCCCTCCTCATCTTCCCATCCATGTTCTCAATCTCTTTCCCTCCTCTTCTTCCCATCCATTTTCTCAGTCTCTTTCCCTCCTCTTCTTCCCATCCATTTTCTCAGTCTCTTTCCCTCCTCTTCTTCCCATCCATTTTCTCAGTCTCTTTCCCTCCTCTTCTTCCCATCCATTTGCTCAATCTCTTTCCCTCCTCTTCTTCCCATCCATGTTCTCAGTCTCTTTCCCTCCTCTTCTTCCCATCCATTTGCTCAATCTCTTTCCCTCCTCTTCTTTCCATCCATTTTCTCAATCTCTTTCCCTCCTCTTCTTCCCATCCATGTTCTCAATCTCTTTCCCTCCTCTTCTTCCCATCCATTTTCTCAATCTCTTTCCCTCCTCTTCTTCCCATCCATTTTCTCAGTCTCTTTCCTTCCTCTTCTTCCCATCCATTTGCTCAATCTCTTTCCCTCCTCTTCTTTCCATCAATTTTCTCAATCTCTTTCCCTCCTCTTCTTCCCATCCATGTTCTCAATCTCTTTCCCTCCTCATCTTACCATCCATTTTCTCAATCTCTTTCCCTCCTCTTCTTCCCATCCTTTTGCTGAGTCTCTTTCCCTCCTCTTCTTCCCATCCATTTTCTCAGTCTCTTTCCCTCCTCTTCATCCCATCCATTTGCTCAATCTCTTTCCCTCCTCTTCTTCCTATCCATGTTCTCAGTCTCTTTCCCTCCTCTTCTTCCCATCCATTTGCTCAATCTCTTTCCCTCCTCTTCTTTCCATCCATTTTCTCAATCTCTTTCCCTCCTCTTCTTCCCATCCATGTTCTCAATCTCTTTCCCTCCTCTTCTTCCCATCCATTTTCTCAATCTCTTTCCCTCCTCTTCTTCCCATCCATTTTCTCAGTCTCTTTCTCTCCTCTTCTTCCCATCCATTTGCTCAATCTCTTTCCCTCCTCTTCTTTCCATCCATTTTCTCAATCTCTTTCTCTCCTCTTCTTCCCATCCATTTTCTCAGTCTCTTTCCCTCCTCTTCTTTCCATCCATTTGCTCAGTCTCTTTCCCTCCTCTTCTTCCCATCCATTTGCTCAGTCTCTTTCCCTCCTCTTCTTTCCATCCATTTTCTCAGTCTCTTTCCCTCCTCTTCTTCCCATCCATTTGCTCAGTCTCTTTCCCTCCTCTTCTTCCCATCCATTTTCTCAGTCTCTTTCCCTCCTCTTCTTCCCATCCATTTTCTCAGTCTCTTTCCCTCCTCTTCTTCCCATCCATTTTCTCAGTCTCTTTCCCTCCTCTTCTTCCCATCCATTTTCTCAGTCTCTTTCCCTCCTCTTCTTCCCATCCATTTGCTCAATCTCTTTCCCTCCTCTTCTTTCCATCCATTTTCTCAATCTCTTTCCCTCCTCATCTTCCCATCCATGTTCTCAATCTCTTTCCCTCCTCTTCTTCCCATCCATTTTCTCAGTCTCTTTCCCTCCTCTTCTTCCCATCCATTTTCTCAGTCTCTTTCCCTCCTCTTCTTCCCATCCATTTTCTCAGTCTCTTTCCCTCCTCTTCTTCCCATCCATTTGCTCAATCTCTTTCCCTCCTCTTCTTCCCATCCATGTTCTCAGTCTCTTTCCCTCCTCTTCTTCCCATCCATTTGCTCAATCTCTTTCCCTCCTCTTCTTCCCATCCATTTTCTCAATCTCTTTCCCTCCTCTTCTTCCCATCCATGTTCTCAATCTCTTTCCCTCCTCTTCTTCCCATCCATTTTCTCAGTCTCTTTCCCTCCTCTTCTTCCCATCCATTTTCTCAGTCTCTTTCCTTCCTCTTCTTCCCATCCATTTGCTCAATCTCTTTCCCTCCTCTTCTTTCCATCCATTTTCTCAATCTCTTTCCCTCCTCTTCTTACCATCCATTTTCTCAATCTCTTTCCCTCCTCTTCTTCCCATCCTTTTGCTGAGTCTCTTTCCCTCCTCTTCTTCCCATCCATTTTCTCAGTCTCTTTCCCTCCTCTTCATCCCATCCATTTGCTCAATCTCTTTCCCTCCTCTTCTTCCTATCCATGTTCTCAGTCTCTTTCCCTCCTCTTCTTCCCATCCATTTGCTCAATCTCTTTCCCTCCTCTTCTTTCCATCCATTTTCTCAATCTCTTTCCCTCCTCTTCTTCCCATCCATGTTCTCAATCTCTTTCCCTCCTCTTCTTCCCATCCATTTTCTCAATCTCTTTCCCTCCTCTTCTTCCCATCCATTTTCTCAGTCTCTTTCCCTCCTCTTCTTCCCATCCATTTGCTCAATCTCTTTCCCTCCTCTTCTTTCCATCCATTTTCTCAATCTCTTTCTCTCCTCTTCTTCCCATCCATTTTCTCAGTCTCTTTCCCTCCTCTTCTTCCCATCCATTTTCTCAGTCTCTTTCCCTCCTCTTCTTCCCATCCATTTGCTCAGTCTCTTTCCCTCCTCTTCTTTCCATCCATTTTCTCAGTCTCTTTCCCTCCTCTTCTTCCCATCCATTTGCTCAGTCTCTTTCCCTCCTCTTCTTCCCATCCATTTTCTCAGTCTCTTTCCCTCCTCTTCTTCCCATCCATTTTCTCAGTCTCTTTCCCTCCTCTTCTTCCCATCCATTTTCTCAGTCTCTTTCCCTCCTCTTCTTCCCATCCATTTTCTCGGTCTCTTTCCCTCCTCTTCTTCCCATCCATTTTCTCAGTCTCTTTCCCTCCTCTTCTTCCCATCCATTTTCTCAGTCTCTTTCCCTCCTCTTCTTCCCATCCATTTGCTCAGTCTCTTTCCCTCCTCTTCTTCCCATCCATTTTCTCAGTCTCTTTCCCTCCTCTTCATCCCATCCATTTGCTCAATCTCTTTCCCTCCTCTTCTTCCTATCCATGTTCTTAGTCTCTTTCCCTCCTCTTCTTCCCATCCATTTGCTCAATCTCTTTCCCTCCTCTTCTTTCCATCCATTTTCTCAATCTCTTTCCCTCCTCTTCTTCCCATCCATTTTCTCAATCTCTTTCCCTCCTCTTCTTCCCATCCATTTTCTCAGTCTCTTTCCCTCCTCTTCTTCCCATCCATTTGCTCAATCTCTTTCCCTCCTCTTCTTTCCATCCATTTTCTCAATCTCTTTCTCTCCTCTTCTTCCCATCCATTTTCTCAGTCTCTTTCCCTCCTCTTCTTCCCATCCATTTTCTCAGTCTCTTTCCCTCCTCTTCTTCCCATCCATTTGCTCAGTCTCTTTCCCTCCTCTTCTTCCCATCCATTTTCTCAGTCTCTTTCCCTCCTCTTCTTCCCATCCATTTTCTCAGTCTCTTTCCCTCCTCTTCTTCCCATCCATTTTCTCAGTCTCTTTCCCTCCTCTTCTTCCCATCCATTTTCTCAATCTCTTTCCCTCCTCTTCTTCCCATCCATTTTCTCAGTCTCTTTCCCTCCTCTTCTTCCCATCCATTTGCTCAATCTCTTTCCCTCCTCTTCTTTCCATCCATTTTCTCAATCTCTTTCCCTCCTCTTCTTCCCATCCATGTTCTCAATCTCTTTCCCTCCTCTTCTTCCCATCCATTTTCTCAGTCTCTTTCCCTCCTCTTCTTCCCATCCATTTTCTCAGTCTCTTTCCCTCCTCTTCTTCCCATCTATTTTCTCAGTCTCTTTCCCTCCTCTTCTTCCCATCCATTTGCTCAATCTCTTTCCCTCCTCTTCTTCCCATCCATGTTCTCAGTCTCTTTCCCTCCTCTTCTTCCCATCCATTTGCTCAATCTCTTTCCCTCCTCTTCTTTCCATCCATTTTCTCAATCTCTTTCCCTCCTCTTCTTCCCATCCATTTTCTCAATCTCTTTCCCTCCTCTTCTTCCCATCCATTTTCTCAATCTCTTTCCCTCCTCTTCTTCCCATCCATTTTCTCAGTCTCTTTCCCTCCTCTTCTTCCCATCCATTTGCTCAATCTCTTTCCCTCCTCTTCTTTCCATCCATTTTCTCAATCTCTTTCCCTCCTCTTCTTCCCATCCATGTTCTCAATCTCTTTCCCTCCTCTTCTTACCATCAATTTTCTCAGTCTCTTTCCCTCCTCTTCTTCCCATCCTTTTGCTGAGTCTCTTTCCCTCCTCTTCTTCCCATCCATTTTCTCAGTCTCTTTCCCTCCTCTTCATCCCATCCATTTGCTCAATCTCTTTCCCTCCTCTTCTTCCCATCCATGTTCTCAGTCTCTTTCCCTCCTCTTCTTCCCATCCATTTGCTCAATCTCTTTCCCTCCTCTTCTTTCCATCCATTTTCTCAATCTCTTTCCCTCCTCTTCTTCCCATCCATGTTCTCAATCTCTTTCCCTCCTCTTCTTCCCATCCATTTTCTCAATCTCTTTCCCTCCTCTTCTTCCCATCCATTTTCTCAGTCTCTTTCCCTCCTCTTCTTCCCATCCATTTGCTCAATCTCTTTCCCTCCTCTTCTTTCCATCCATTTTCTCAATCTCTTTCCCTCCTCTTCTTCCCATCCATGTTCTCAATCTGTTTCCCTCCTCTTCTTTCCATCCATTTTCTCAGTCTCTTTCCCTCCTCTTCTTCCCATCCATTTTCTCAATCTCTTTCCCTCCTCTTCTTTCCATCCATTTTCTCAATCTCTTTCCCTCCTCTTCTTCCCATCCATGTTCTCAATCTCTTTCCCTCTTCTTCCCATCCATTTTCTCAGTCTCTTTCCCTCCTCTTCTTCCCATCCATTTTCTCAGTCTCTTTCCCTCCTCTTCTTCCCATCCATTTTCTCAGTCTCTTTCCCTCCTCTTCATCCCATCCATTTGCTCAATCTCTTTCCCTCCTCTTCTTCCCATCCATGTTCTCAGTCTCTTTCCCTCCTCTTCTTCCTATCCATTTTCTCAATCTCTTTCCCTCCTCTTCTTCCTATCCATTTGCTCAATCTCTTTCCCTCCTCTTCTTCCCATCCATGTTCTCAATCTCTTTCCCTCCTCTTCTTCCCATCCATGTTCTCAATCTCTTTCCCTCCTCTTCTTCCCATCCATTTTCTCAATCTCTTTCCCTCCTCTTCTTCCCATCCATTTTCTCAGTCTCTTTCCCTCCTCTTCTTCCCATCCATTTGCTCAATCTCTTTCCCTCCTCTTCTTCCCATCCATGTTCTCAGTCTCTTTCCCTCCTCTTCTTCCCATCCATTTGCTCAATCTCTTTCCCTCCTCTTCTTTCTATCCATTTTCTCAATCTCTTTCCCTCCTCTTCTTCCCATCCATGTTCTCAATCTCTTTCCCTCCTCTTCTTCCCATCCATTTTCTCAATCTCTTTCCCTCCTCTTCTTCCCATCCATTTTCTCAGTCTCTTTCCCTCCTCTTCTTCCCATCCATTTGCTCAATCTCTTTCCCTCCTCTTCTTTCCATCCATTTTCTAAATCTCTTTCCCTCCTCTTCTTCCCATCCATTTTCTCAGTCTCTTTCCCTCCTCTTCTTCCCATCCATTTTCTCAGTCTCTTTCCCTCCTCTTCTTCCCATCCATTTTCTCAGTCTCTTTCCCTCCTCTTCTTCCCATCCATTTTCTCAGTCTCTTTCCCTCCTCTTCTTCCCATCCATTTGCTCCGTCTCTTTCCCTCCTCTTCTTTCCATCCATTTTCTCAGTCTCTTTACCTCCTCTTCTTCCCATCCATTTGCTCAGTCTCTTTCCCTCCTCTTCTTCCCATCCATTTTCTCAGTCTCTTTCCCTCCTCTTCTTCCCATCCATTTTCTCAGTCTCTTTCCCTCCTCTTCTTCCCATCCATTTTCTCAGTCTCTTTCCCTCCTCTTCTTCCCATCCATTTTCTCAGTCTCTTTCTCTCCTCTTCTTCCCATCCATTTTCTCAATCTCTTTCCCTCCTCTTCTTCCCATCCATTTTCTCAGTCTCTTTCCCTCCTCTTCTTCCCATCCATTTTCTCAGTCTCTTTCCCTCCTCTTCTTCCCATCCATTTTCTCAGTCTCTTTCCCTCCTCTTCTTCCCATCCATTTTCTCAGTCTCTTTCTCTCCTCTTCTTCCCATCCATTTTCTCAATCTCTTTCCCTCCTCTTCTTCCCATCCATTTTCTCAGTCTCTTTCCCTCCTCTTCTTCCCATCCATTTGCTCAGTCTCTTTCCCTCCTCTTCTTTCCATCCATTTTCTCAGTCTCTTTCCCTCCTCTTCTTCCCATCCATTTGCTCAGTCTCTTTCCCTCCTCTTCTTCCCATCCATTTTCTCAGTCTCTTTCCCTCCTCTTCTTCCCATCCATTTTCTCAGTCTCTTTCCCTCCTCTTCTTCCCATCCATTTTCTCAGTCTCTTTCCCTCCTCTTCTTCCCATCCATTTTCTCAATCTCTTTCCCTCCTCTTCTTCCCATCCATTTTCTCAGTCTCTTTCCCTCCTCTTCTTCCCATCCATTTGCTCAATCTCTTTCCCTCCTCTTCTTCCCATCCATGTTCTCAGTCTCTTTCCCTCCTCTTCTTCCCATCCATTTGCTCAATCTCTTTCCCTCCTCTTCTTTCCATCCATTTTCTCAATCTCTTTCCCTCCTCTTCTTCCCATCCATTTTCTCAATCTCTTTCCCTCCTCTTCTTCCCATCCATTTTCTCAATCTCTTTCCCTCCTCTTCTTCCCATCCATTTTCTCAATCTCTTTCCCTCCTCTTCTTCCCATCCATTTTCTCAGTCTCTTTCCCTCCTCTTCTTCCCATCCATTTGCTCAATCTCTTTCCCTCCTCTTCTTTCCATCCATTTTCTCAATCTCTTTCCCTCCTCTTCTTCCCATCCATGTTCTCAATCTCTTTCCCTCCTCTTCTTACCATCAATTTTCTCAGTCTCTTTCCCTCCTCTTCTTCCCATCCTTTTGCTGAGTCTCTTTCCCTCCTCTTCTTCCCATCCATTTTCTCAGTCTCTTTCCCTCCTCTTCATCCCATCCATTTGCTCAATCTCTTTCCCTCCTCTTCTTCCCATCCATGTTCTCAGTCTCTTTCCCTCCTCTTCTTCCCATCCATTTGCTCAATCTCTTTCCCTCCTCTTCTTTCCATCCATTTTCTCAGTCTCTTTCCCTCCTCTTCTTCCCATCTATTTTCTCAGTCTCTTTCCCTCCTCTTCTTCCCATCCATTTGCTCAATCTCTTTCCCTCCTCTTCTTTCCATCCATTTTCTCAATCTCTTTCCCTCCTCTTCTTCCCATCCATTTTCTCAATCTCTTTCCCTCCTCTTCTTCCCATCCATTTTCTCAATCTCTTTCCCTCCTCTTCTTCCCATCCATTTTCTCAGTCTCTTTCCCTCCTCTTCTTCCCATCCATTTTCTCAGTCTCTTTCCCTCCTCTTCATCCCATCCATTTGCTCAATCTCTTTCCCTCCTCTTCTTCCTATCCATGTTCTCAGTCTCTTTCCCTCCTCTTCTTCCCATCCATTTGCTCAATCTCTTTCCCTCCTCTTCTTTCCATCCATTTTCTCAATCTCTTTCCCTCCTCTTCTTCCCATCCATGTTCTCAATCTCTTTCCCTCCTCTTCTTCCCATCCATTTTCTCAATCTCTTTCCCTCCTCTTCTTCCCATCCATTTTCTCAGTCTCTTTCCCTCCTCTTCTTCCCATCCATTTGCTCAATCTCTTTCCCTCCTCTTCTTTCCATCCATTTTCTCAATCTCTTTCTCTCCTCTTCTTCCCATCCATTTTCTCAGTCTCTTTCCCTCCTCTTCTTCCCATCCATTTTCTCAGTCTCTTTCCCTCCTCTTCTTCCCATCCATTTGCTCAGTCTCTTTCCCTCCTCTTCTTTCCATCCATTTTCTCAGTCTCTTTCCCTCCTCTTCTTCCCATCCATTTGCTCAGTCTCTTTCCCTCCTCTTCTTCCCATCCATTTTCTCAGTCTCTTTCCCTCCTCTTCTTCCCATCCATTTGCTCAGTCTCTTTCCCTCCTCTTCTTCCCATCCATTTTCTCAGTCTCTTTCCCTCCTCTTCTTCCCATCCATTTTCTCGGTCTCTTTCCCTCCTCTTCTTCCCATCCATTTTCTCAGTCTCTTTCCCTCCTCTTCTTCCCATCCATTTTCTCAGTCTCTTTCCCTCCTCTTCTTCCCATCCATTTGCTCAGTCTCTTTCCCTCCTCTTCTTCCCATCCATTTTCTCAGTCTCTTTCCCTCCTCTTCATCCCATCCATTTGCTCAATCTCTTTCCCTCCTCTTCTTCCTATCCATGTTCTCAGTCTCTTTCCCTCCTCTTCTTCCCATCCATTTGCTCAATCTCTTTCCCTCCTCTTCTTTCCATCCATTTTCTCAATCTCTTTCCCTCCTCTTCTTCCCATCCATGTTCTCAATCTCTTTCCCTCCTCTTCTTCCCATCCATTTTCTCAATCTCTTTCCCTCCTCTTCTTCCCATCCATTTTCTCAGTCTCTTTCCCTCCTCTTCTTCCCATCCATTTGCTCAATCTCTTTCCCTCCTCTTCTTTCCATCCATTTTCTCAATCTCTTTCTCTCCTCTTCTTCCCATCCATTTTCTCAGTCTCTTTCCCTCCTCTTCTTCCCATCCATTTTCTCAGTCTCTTTCCCTCCTCTTCTTCCCATCCATTTGCTCAGTCTCTTTCCCTCCTCTTCTTCCCATCCATTTTCTCAGTCTCTTTCCCTCCTCTTCTTCCCATCCATTTTCTCAGTCTCTTTCCCTCCTCTTCTTCCCATCCATTTTCTCAGTCTCTTTCCCTCCTCTTCTTCCCATCCATTTTCTCAATCTCTTTCCCTCCTCTTCTTCCCATCCATTTTCTCAGTCTCTTTCCCTCCTCTTCTTCCCATCCATTTGTTCAATCTCTTTCCCTCCTCTTCTTTCCATCCATTTTCTCAATCTCTTTCCCTCCTCTTCTTCCCATCCATGTTCTCAATCTCTTTCCCTCCTCTTCTTCCCATCCATTTTCTCAGTCTCTTTCCCTCCTCTTCTTCCCATCCATTTTCTCAGTCTCTTTCCCTCCTCTTCTTCCCATCTATTTTCTCAGTCTCTTTCCCTCCTCTTCTTCCCATCCATTTGCTCAATCTCTTTCCCTCCTCTTCTTCCCATCCATGTTCTCAGTCTCTTTCCCTCCTCTTCTTCCCATCCATTTGCTCAATCTCTTTCCCTCCTCTTCTTCCCATCCATTTTCTCAATCTCTTTCCCTCCTCTTCTTCCCATCCATTTTCTCAGTCTCTTTCCCTCCTCTTCTTCCCATCCATTTGCTCAATCTCTTTCCCTCCTCTTCTTTCCATCCATTTTCTCAATCTCTTTCCCTCTTCTTCTTCCCATCCATGTTCTCAATCTCTTTCCCTCCTCTTCTTACCATCAATTTTCTCAGTCTCTTTCCCTCCTCTTCTTCCCATCCTTTTGCTGAGTCTCTTTCCCTCCTCTTCTTCCCATCCATTTTCTCAGTCTCTTTCCCTCCTCTTCATCCCATCCATTTGCTCAATCTCTTTCCCTCCTCTTCTTCCCATCCATGTTCTCAGTCTCTTTCCCTCCTCTTCTTCCCATCCATTTGCTCAATCTCTTTCCCTCCTCTTCTTTCCATCCATTTTCTCAGTCTCTTTCCCTCCTCTTCTTCCCATCTATTTTCTCAGTCTCTTTCCCTCCTCTTCTTCCCATCCATTTTCTCAGTCTCTTTCCCTCCTCTTCTTCCCATCCATTTGCTCAGTCTCTTTCCCTCCTCTTCATCCCATCCATTTGCTCAATCTCTTTCCCTCCTCTTCTTCCCATCCATGTTCTCAGTCTCTTTCCCTCCTCTTCTTCCCATCCATTTGCTCAATCTCTTTCCCTCCTCTTCTTTCCATCCATTTTCTCAGTCTCTTTCCCTCCTCTTCTTCCCATCTATTTTCTCAGTCTCTTTCCCTCCTCTTCTTCCCATCCATTTGCTCAATCTCTTTCCCTCCTCTTCTTCCCATCCATTTTCTCAATCTCTTTCCCTCCTCTTCTTCCCATCCATTTTCTCAATCTCTTTCCCTCCTCTTCTTCCCATCCATTTTCTCAGTCTCTTTCCCTCCTCTTCTTCCCATCCATTTGCTCAGTCTCTTTCCCTCCTCTTCTTCCCATCCATTTTCTCAGTCTCTTTCCCTCCTCTTCATCCCATCCATTTGCTCAATCTCTTTCCCTCCTCTTCTTCCTATCCATGTTCTCAGTCTCTTTCCCTCCTCTTCTTCCCATCCATTTGCTCAATCTCTTTCCCTCCTCTTCTTTCCATCCATTTTCTCAATCTCGTTCCCTCCTCTTCTTCCCATCCATGTTCTCAATCTCTTTCCCTCCTCTTCTTCCCATCCATTTTCTCAATCTCTTTCCCTCCTCTTCTTCCCATCCATTTTCTCAGTCTCTTTCCCTCCTCTTCTTCCCATCCATTTGCTCAATCTCTTTCCCTCCTCTTCTTTCCATCCATTTTCTCAATCTCTTTCTCTCCTCTTCTTCCCATCCATTTTCTCAGTCTCTTTCCCTCCTCTTCTTCCCATCCATTTTCTCAGTCTCTTTCCCTCCTCTTCTTCCCATCCATTTGCTCAGTCTCTTTCCCTCCTCTTCTTCCCATCCATTTTCTCAGTCTCTTTCCCTCCTCTTCTTCCCATCCATTTTCTCAGTCTCTTTCCCTCCTCTTCTTCCCATCCATTTTCTCAGTCTCTTTCCCTCCTCTTCTTCCCATCCATTTTCTCAATCTCTTTCCCTCCTCTTCTTCCCATCCATTTTCTCAGTCTCTTTCCCTCCTCTTCTTCCCATCCATTTGCTCAATCTCTTTCCCTCCTCTTCTTTCCATCCATTTTCTCAATCTCTTTCCCTCCTCTTCTTCCCATCCATGTTCTCAATCTCTTTCCCTCCTCTTCTTCCCATCCATTTTCTCAGTCTCTTTCCCTCCTCTTCTTCCCATCCATTTTCTCAGTCTCTTTCCCTCCTCTTCTTCCCATCTATTTTCTCAGTCTCTTTCCCTCCTCTTCTTCCCATCCATTTGCTCAATCTCTTTCCCTCCTCTTCTTCCCATCCATGTTCTCAGTCTCTTTCCCTCCTCTTCTTCCCATCCATTTGCTCAATCTCTTTCCCTCCTCTTCTTTCCATCCATTTTCTCAATCTCTTTCCCTCCTCTTCTTCCCATCCATTTTCTCAATCTCTTTCCCTCCTCTTCTTCCCATCCATTTTCTCAATCTCTTTCCCTCCTCTTCTTCCCATCCATTTTCTCAGTCTCTTTCCCTCCTCTTCTTCCCATCCATTTGCTCAATCTCTTTCCCTCCTCTTCTTTCCATCCATTTTCTCAATCTCTTTCCCTCTTCTTCTTCCCATCCATGTTCTCAATCTCTTTCCCTCCTCTTCTTACCATCAATTTTCTCAGTCTCTTTCCCTCCTCTTCTTCCCATCCTTTTGCTGAGTCTCTTTCCCTCCTCTTCTTCCCATCCATTTTCTCACTCTCTTTCCCTCCTCTTCATCCCATCCATTTGCTCAATCTCTTTCCCTCCTCTTCTTCCCATCCATGTTCTCAGTCTCTTTCCCTCCTCTTCTTCCCATCCATTTGCTCAATCTCTTTCCCTCCTCTTCTTTCCATCCATTTTCTCAATCTCTTTCCCTCCTCTTCTTCCCATCCATGTTCTCAATCTCTTTCCCTCCTCTTCTTCCCATCCATTTTCTCAGTCTCTTTCCCTCCTCTTCTTCCCATCCATTTTCTCAATCTCTTTCCCTCCTCTTCTTTCCATCCATTTTCTCAATCTCTTTCCCTCCTCTTCTTCCCATCCATGTTCTCAATCTCTTTCCCTCTTCTTCCCATCCATTTTCTCAGTCTCTTTCCCTCCTCTTCTTCCCATCCATTTTCTCAGTCTCTTTCCCTCCTCTTCTTCCCATCCATTTTCTCAGTCTCTTTCCCTCCTCTTCTTCCCATCCATTTGCTCAATCTCTTTCCCTCCTCTTCTTCCCATCCATGTTCTCAGTCTCTTTCCCTCCTCTTCTTCCTATCCATTTGCTCAATCTCTTTCCCTCCTCTTCTTTCCATCCATTTTCTCGATCTCTTTCCCTCCTCTTCTTCCCATCCATGTTCTCAATCTCTTTCCCTCCTCTTCTTCCCATCCATTTTCTCAATCTCTTTCCCTCCTCTTCTTCCCATCCATTTTCTCAGTCTCTTTCCCTCCTCTTCTTCCCATCCATTTGCTCAATCTCTTTCCCTCCTCTTCTTCCCATCCATGTTCTCAATCTCTTTCCCTCCTCTTCTTCCCATCCATTTGCTCAATCTCTTTCCCTCCTCTTCTTTCCATCCATTTTCTCAATCTCTTTCCCTCCTCTTCTTCCCATCCATGTTCTCAATCTCTTTCCCTCCTCTTCTTCCCATCCATTTTCTCAATCTCTTTCCCTCCTCTTCTTCCCATCCATTTTCTCGGTCTCTTTCCCTCCTCTTCTTCCCATCCATTTGCTCAATCTCTTTCCCTCCTCTTCTTTCCATCCATTTTCTCAATCTCTTTCCCTCCTCTTCTTCCCATCCATTTTCTCAGTCTCTTTCCCTCCTCTTCTTCCCATCCATTTTCTCAGTCTCTTTCCCTCCTCTTCTTCCCATCCATTTTCTCAGTCTCTTTCCCTCCTCTTCTTCCCATCCATTTTCTCAGTCTCTTTCCCTCCTCTTCTTCCCATCCATTTGCTTCGTCTCTTTCCCTCCTCTTCTTTCCATCCATTTTCTCAGTCTCTTTCCCTCCTCTTCTTCCCATCCATTTGCTCAGTCTCTTTCCCTCCTCTTCTTCCCATCCATTTTCTCAGTCTCTTTCCCTCCTCTTCTTCCCATCCATTTTCTCAGTCTCTTTCCCTCCTCTTCTTCCCATCCATTTTCTCAGTCTCTTTCCCTCCTCTTCTTCCCATCCATTTTCTCAGTCTCTTTCTCTCCTCTTCTTCCCATCCATTTTCTCAATCTCTTTCCCTCCTCTTCTTCCCATCCATTTTCTCAGTCTCTTTCCCTCCTCTTCTTCCCATCCATTTGCTCAGTCTCTTTCCCTCCTCTTCTTTCCATCCATTTTCTCAGTCTCTTTCCCTCCTCTTCTTCCCATCCATTTGCTCAGTCTCTTTCCCTCCTCTTCTTCCCATCCATTTTCTCAGTCTCTTTCCCTCCTCTTCTTCCCATCCATTTTCTCAGTCTCTTTCCCTCCTCTTCTTCCCATCCATTTTCTCAGTCTCTTTCCCTCCTCTTCTTCCCATCCATTTGCTCAATCTCTTTCCCTCCTCTTCTTTCCATCCATTTTCTCAGTCTCTTTCCCTCCTCTTCTTCCCATCCATTTGCTCAATCTCTTTCCCTCCTCTTCTTTCCATCCATTTTCTCAATCTCTTTCCCTCCTCTTCTTCCCATCCATGTTCTCAATCTCTTTCCCTCCTCTTCTTCCCATCCATTTTCTCAATCTCTTTCCCTCCTCTTCTTCCCATCCATTTTCTCAGTCTCTTTCCCTCCTCTTCTTCCCATCCATTTGCTCAATCTCTTTCCCTCCTCTTCTTTCCATCCATTTTCTCAATCTCTTTCTCTCCTCTTCTTCCCATCCATTTTCTCAGTCTCTTTCCCTCCTCTTCTTCCCATCCATTTTCTCAGTCTCTTTCCCTCCTCTTCTTCCCATCCATTTGCTTAGTCTCTTTCCCTCCTCTTCTTCCCATCCATTTTCTCAGTCTCTTTCCCTCCTCTTCTTCCCATCCATTTTCTCAGTCTCTTTCCCTCCTCTTCTTCCCATCCATTTTCTCAGTCTCTTTCCCTCCTCTTCTTCCCATCCATTTTCTCAATCTCTTTCCCTCCTCTTCTTCCCATCCATTTTCTCAGTCTCTTTCCCTCCTCTTCTTCCCATCCATTTGCTCAATCTCTTTCCCTCCTCTTCTTTCCATCCATTTTCTCAATCTCTTTCCCTCCTCTTCTTCCCATCCATGTTCTCAATCTCTTTCCCTCCTCTTCTTCCCATCCATTTTCTCAGTCTCTTTTCCTCCTCTTCTTCCCATCCATTTTCTCAGTCTCTTTCCCTCCTCTTCTTCCCATCTATTTTCTCAGTCTCTTTCCCTCCTCTTCTTCCCATCCATTTGCTCAATCTCTTTCCCTCCTCTTCTTCCCATCCATGTTCTCAGTCTCTTTCCCTCCTCTTCTTCCCATCCATTTGCTCAATCTCTTTCCCTCCTCTTCTTTCCATCCATTTTCTCAATCTCTTTCCCTCCTCTTCTTCCCATCCATTTTCTCAATCTCTTTCCCTCCTCTTCTTCCCATCCATTTTCTCAATCTCTTTCCCTCCTCTTCTTCCCATCCATTTTCTCAGTCTCTTTCCCTCCTCTTCTTCCCATCCATTTGCTCAATCTCTTTCCCTCCTCTTCTTTCCATCCATTTTCTCAATCTCTTTCCCTCCTCTTCTTCCCATCCATGTTCTCAATCTCTTTCCCTCCTCTTCTTACCATCAATTTTCTCAGTCTCTTTCCCTCCTCTTCTTCCCATCCTTTTGCTGAGTCTCTTTCCCTCCTCTTCTTCCCATCCATTTTCTCAGTCTCTTTCCCTCCTCTTCATCCCATCCATTTGCTCAATCTCTTTCCCTCCTCTTCTTCCCATCCATGTTCTCAGTCTCTTTCCCTCCTCTTCTTCCCATCCATTTGCTCAATCTCTTTCCCTCCTCTTCTTTCCATCCATTTTCTCAATCTCTTTCCCTCCTCTTCTTCCCATCCATGTTCTCAATCTCTTTCCCTCCTCTTCTTCCCATCCATTTTCTCAGTCTCTTTCCCTCCTCTTCTTCCCATCCATTTTCTCAATCTCTTTCCCTCCTCTTCTTTCCATCCATTTTCTCAATCTCTTTCCCTCCTCTTCTTCCCATCCATGTTCTCAATCTCTTTCCCTCTTCTTCCCATCCATTTTCTCAGTCTCTTTCCCTCCTCTTCTTCCCATCCATTTTCTCAGTCTCTTTCCCTCCTCTTCTTCCCATCCATTTTCTCAGTCTCTTTCCCTCCTCTTCTTCCCATCCATTTGCTCAATCTCTTTCCCTCCTCTTCTTCCCATCCATGTTCTCAGTCTCTTTCCCTCCTCTTCTTCCTATCCATTTGCTCAATCTCTTTCCCTCCTCTTCTTTCCATCCATTTTCTCGATCTCTTTCCCTCCTCTTCTTCCCATCCATGTTCTCAATCTCTTTCCCTCCTCTTCTTCCCATCCATTTTCTCAATCTCTTTCCCTCCTCTTCTTCCCATCCATTTTCTCAGTCTCTTTCCCTCCTCTTCTTCCCATCCATTTGTTCAATCTCTTTCCCTCCTCTTCTTCCCATCCATGTTCTCAGTCTCTTTCCCTCCTCTTCTTCCCATCCATTTGCTCAATCTCTTTCCCTCCTCTTCTTTCCATCCATTTTCTCAATCTCTTTCCCTCCTCTTCTTCCCATCCATGTTCTCAATCTCTTTCCCTCCTCTTCTTCCCATCCATTTTCTCAATCTCTTTCCCTCCTCTTCTTCCCATCCATTTTCTCGGTCTCTTTCCCTCCTCTTCTTCCCATCCATTTGCTCAATCTCTTTCCCTCCTCTTCTTTCCATCCATTTTCTCAATCTCTTTCCCTCCTCTTCTTCCCATCCATTTTCTCAGTCTCTTTCCCTCCTCTTCTTCCCATCCATTTTCTCAGTCTCTTTCCCTCCTCTTCTTCCCATCCATTTTCTCAGTCTCTTTCCCTCCTCTTCTTCCCATCCATTTTCTCAGTCTCTTTCCCTCCTCTTCTTCCCATCCATTTGCTCCGTCTCTTTCCCTCCTCTTCTTTCCATCCATTTTCTCAGTCTCTTTCCCTCCTCTTCTTCCCATCCATTTGCTCAGTCTCTTTCCCTCCTCTTCTTCCCATCCATTTTCTCAGTCTCTTTCCCTCCTCTTCTTCCCATCCATTTTCTCAGTCTCTTTCCCTCCTCTTCTTCCCATCCATTTTCTCAGTCTCTTTCCCTCCTCTTCTTCCCATCCATTTTCTCAGTCTCTTTCTCTCCTCTTCTTCCCATCCATTTTCTCAATCTCTTTCCCTCCTCTTCTTCCCATCCATTTTCTCAGTCTCTTTCCCTCCTCTTCTTCCCATCCATTTGCTCAGTCTCTTTCCCTCCTCTTCTTTCCATCCATTTTCTCAGTCTCTTTCCCTCCTCTTCTTCCCATCCATTTGCTCAGTCTCTTTCCCTCCTCTTCTTCCCATCCATTTTCTCAGTCTCTTTCCCTCCTCTTCTTCCCATCCATTTTCTCAGTCTCTTTCCCTCCTCTTCTTCCCATCCATTTTCTCAGTCTCTTTCCCTCCTCTTCTTCCCATCCATTTTCTCAATCTCTTTCCCTCCTCTTCTTCCCATCCATTTTCTCAGTCTCTTTCCCTCCTCTTCTTCCCATCCATTTGCTCAATCTCTTTCCCTCCTCTTCTTTCCATCCATTTTCTCAATCTCTTTCCCTCCTCTTCTTCCCATCCATGTTCTCAATCTCTTTCCCTCCTCTTCTTCCCATCCATTTTCTCAGTCTCTTTCCCTCCTCTTCTTCCCATCCATTTTCTCAGTCTCTTTCCCTCCTCTTCTTCCCATCTATTTTCTCTGTCTCTTTCCCTCCTCTTCTTCCCATCCATTTGCTCAATCTCTTTCCCTCCTCTTCTTTCCATCCATTTTCTCAATCTCTTTCCCTCCTCTTCTTCCCATCCATTTTCTCAATCTCTTTCCCTCCTCTTCTTCCTATCCATTTTCTCAATCTCTTTCCCTCCTCTTCTTCCCATCCATTTTCTCAGTCTCTTTCCCTCCTCTTCTTCCCATCCATTTGCTCAATCTCTTTCCCTCCTCTTCTTTCCATCCATTTTCTCAATCTCTTTCCCTCCTCTTCTTCCCATCCATGTTCTCAATCTCTTTCCCTCCTCTTCTTACCATCCATTTTCTCAGTCTCTTTCCCTCCTCTTCTTCCCATCCTTTTGCTGAGTCTCTTTCCCTCCTCTTCTTCCCATCCATTTTCTCAGTCTCTTTCCCTCCTCTTCATCCCATCCATTTGCTCAATCTCTTTCCCTCCTCTTCTTCCCATCCATGTTCTCAGTCTCTTTCGCTCCTCTTCTTCCCATCCATTTGCTCAATCTCTTTCCCTCCTCTTCTTTCCATCCATTTTCTCAATCTCTTTCCCTCCTCTTCTTCCCATCCATGTTGTCAATCTCTTTCCCTCCTCTTCTTCCCATCCATATTCTCAATCTCTTTCCCTCCTCTTCTTCCCATCCATTTTCTCAGTCTCTTTCCCTCCTCTTCTTCCCATCCATTTGCTCAATCTCTTTCCCTCCTCTTCTTTCCATCCATTTTCTCAGTCTCTTTCCCTCCTCTTCTTCCCATCCATGTTCTCAATCTGTTTCCCTCCTCTTCTTTCCATCCATTTTCTCAGTCTCTTTCCCTCCTCTTCTTCCCATCCATTTGCTCAATCTCTTTCCCTCCTCTTCTTTCCATCCATTTTCTCAATCTCTTTCCCTCCTCTTCTTCCCATCCATGTTCTCAATCTCTTTCCCTCCTCTTCTTCCCATCCATTTTCTCAGTCTCTTTCCCTCCTCTTCTTCCCATCCATTTTCTCAGTCTCTTTCCCTCCTCTTCTTCCCATCCATTTTCTCAGTCTCTTTCCCTCCTCTTCTTCCCATCCATTTGCTCAATCTCTTTCCCTCCTCTTCTTCCCATCCATTTTCTCAGTCTCTTTCCCTCCTCTTCTTCCTATCCATTTGCTCAATCTCTTTCCCTCCTCTTCTTTCCATCCATTTTCTCTATCTCTTTCCCTCCTCTTCTTCCCATCCATGTTCTCAATCTCTTTCCCTCCTCTTCTTCCCATCCATTTTCTCAATCTCTTTCCCTCCTCTTCTTCCCATCCATTTTCTCAGTCTCTTTCCCTCCTCTTCTTCCCATCCATTTGCTCAATCTCTTTCCCTCCTCTTCTTCCCATCCATGTTCTCAGTCTCTTTCCCTCCTCTTCTTCCCATCCATTTGCTCAATCTCTTTCCCTCCTCTTCTTTCCATCCATTTTCTCAATCTCTTTCCCTCCTCTTCTTCCCATCCATGTTCTCAATCTCTTTCCCTCCTCTTTTTCCCATCCATTGTCTCAATCTCTTTCCCTCCTCTTCTTCCCATCCATTTTCTTAGTCTCTTTCCCTCCTCTTCTTCCCATCCATTTGCTCAATCTCTTTCCCTCCTCTTCTTCCCATCCATTTTCTCAATCTCTTTTCCTCCTCTTCTTCCCATCCATGTTCTCAATCTCTTTCCCTCCTCTTCTTACCATCCATTTTCTCAATCTCTTTCCCTCCTCTTCTTCCCATCCATTTTCTCAGTCTCTTTCCCTCCTCTTCTTCCCATCCATTTCCTCAGTCTCTTTCCCTCCTCTTCTTCCCATCCATTTTCTCAATCTCTTTCCCTCCTCTTCTTCCCATCCATGTTCTCAGTCTCTTTCCCTCCTCTTCTTCCCATCCATTTGCTCAATCTCTTTCCCTCCTCTTCTTCCCATCCATGTTCTCAGTCTCTTTCCCTCCTCTTCTTCCCATCCATTTGCTCAATCTCTTTCCCTCCTCTTCTTCCCATCCATTTGCTCAATCTCTTTCCCTCCTCTTCTTTCCATCCATTTTCTCAATCTCTTTCCCTCCTCTTCTTCCCATCCATTTTCTCAGTCTCTTTCCCTCCTCTTCTTCCCATCCATTTTCTCAGTCTCTTTCCCTCCTCTTCTTCCCATCCATTTTCTTAGTCTCTTTCCCTCCTCTTCTTCCCATCCATTTGCTCAATCTCTTTCCCTCCTCTTCTTTCCATCCATTTTCTCAATCTCTTTTCCTCCTCTTCTTCCCATCCATGTTCTCAATCTCTTTCCCTCCTCTTCTTACCATCCATTTTCTCAATCTCTTTCCCTCCTCTTCTTACCATCCATTTTCTCAGTCTCTTTCCCTCCTCTTCTTCCCATCCATTTCCTCAGTCTCTTTCCCTCCTCTTCTTCCCATCCATTTTCTCAATCTCTTTCCCTCCTCTTCTTCCCATCCATGTTCTCAGTCTCTTTCCCTCCTCTTCTTCCCATCCATTTGCTCAATCTCTTTCCCTCCTCTTCTTTCCATCCATTTTCTCAATCTCTTTCCCTCCTCTTCTTCCCATCCATTTTCTCAATCTCTTTCCCTCCTCTTCTTCCTATCCATTTTCTCAATCTCTTTCCCTCCTCTTCTTCCCATCCATTTTCTCAGTCTCTTTCCCTCCTCTTCTTCCCATCCATTTGCTCAATCTCTTTCCCTCCTCTTCTTTCCATCCATTTTCTCAATCTCTTTCCCTCCTCTTCTTCCCATCCATGTTCTCAATCTCTTTCCCTCCTCTTCTTACCATCCATTTTCTCAGTCTCTTTCCCTCCTCTTCTTCCCATCCTTTTGCTGAGTCTCTTTCCCTCCTCTTCTTCCCATCCATTTTCTCAGTCTCTTTCCCTCCTCTTCATCCCATCCATTTGCTCAATCTCTTTCCCTCCTCTTCTTCCCATCCATGTTCTCAGTCTCTTTCGCTCCTCTTCTTCCCATCCATTTGCTCAATCTCTTTCCCTCCTCTTCTTTCCATCCATTTTCTCAATCTCTTTCCCTCCTCTTCTTCCCATCCATGTTGTCAATCTCTTTCCCTCCTCTTCTTCCCATCCATATTCTCAATCTCTTTCCCTCCTCTTCTTGCCATCGATTTTCTCAGTCTCTTTCCCTCCTCTTCTTCCCATCCATTTGCTCAATCTCTTTCCCTCCTCTTCTTTCCATCCATTTTCTCAGTCTCTTTCCCTCCTCTTCTTCCCATCCATGTTCTCAATCTGTTTCCCTCCTCTTCTTTCCATCCATTTTCTCAGTCTCTTTCCCTCCTCTTCTTCCCATCCATTTGCTCAATCTCTTTCCCTCCTCTTCTTTCCATCCATTTTCTCAATCTCTTTCCCTCCTCTTCTTCCCATCCATGTTCTCAATCTCTTTCCCTCCTCTTCTTCCCATCCATTTTCTCAGTCTCTTTCCCTCCTCTTCTTCCCATCCATTTTCTCAGTCTCTTTCCCTCCTCTTCTTCCCATCCATTTTCTCAGTCTCTTTCCCTCCTCTTCTTCCCATCCATTTGCTCAATCTCTTTCCCTCCTCTTCTTCCCATCCATTTTCTCAGTCTCTTTCCCTCCTCTTCTTCCTATCCATTTGCTCAATCTCTTTCCCTCCTCTTCTTTCCATCCATTTTCTCTATCTCTTTCCCTCCTCTTCTTCCCATCCATGTTCTCAATCTCTTTCCCTCCTCTTCTTCCCATCCATTTTCTCAATCTCTTTCCCTCCTCTTCTTCCCATCCATTTTCTCAGTCTCTTTCCCTCCTCTTCTTCCCATCCATTTGCTCAATCTCTTTCCCTCCTCTTCTTCCCATCCATGTTCTCAGTCTCTTTCCCTCCTCTTCTTCCCATCCATTTGCTCAATCTCTTTCCCTCCTCTTCTTTCCATCCATTTTCTCAATCTCTTTCCCTCCTCTTCTTCCCATCCATGTTCTCAATCTCTTTCCCTCCTCTTTTTCCCATCCATTGTCTCAATCTCTTTCCCTCCTCTTCTTCCCATCCATTTTCTTAGTCTCTTTCCCTCCTCTTCTTCCCATCCATTTGCTCAATCTCTTTCCCTCCTCTTCTTCCCATCCATTTTCTCAATCTCTTTTCCTCCTCTTCTTCCCATCCATGTTCTCAATCTCTTTCCCTCCTCTTCTTACCATCCATTTTCTCAATCTCTTTCCCTCCTCTTCTTCCCATCCATTTTCTCAGTCTCTTTCCCTCCTCTTCTTCCCATCCATTTCCTCAGTCTCTTTCCCTCCTCTTCTTCCCATCCATTTTCTCAATCTCTTTCCCTCCTCTTCTTCCCATCCATGTTCTCAGTCTCTTTCCCTCCTCTTCTTCCCATCCATTTGCTCAATCTCTTTCCCTCCTCTTCTTCCCATCCATGTTCTCAGTCTCTTTCCCTCCTCTTCTTCCCATCCATTTGCTCAATCTCTTTCCCTCCTCTTCTTCCCATCCATTTGCTCAATCTCTTTCCCTCCTCTTCTTTCCATCCATTTTCTCAATCTCTTTCCCTCCTCTTCTTCCCATCCATTTTCTCAGTCTCTTTCCCTCCTCTTCTTCCCATCCATTTTCTCAGTCTCTTTCCCTCCTCTTCTTCCCATCCATTTTCTTAGTCTCTTTCCCTCCTCTTCTTCCCATCCATTTGCTCAATCTCTTTCCCTCCTCTTCTTTCCATCCATTTTCTCAATCTCTTTTCCTCCTCTTCTTCCCATCCATGTTCTCAATCTCTTTCCCTCCTCTTCTTACCATCCATTTTCTCAATCTCTTTCCCTCCTCTTCTTACCATCCATTTTCTCAGTCTCTTTCCCTCCTCTTCTTCCCATCCATTTCCTCAGTCTCTTTCCCTCCTCTTCTTCCCATCCATTTTCTCAATCTCTTTCCCTCCTCTTCTTCCCATCCATGTTCTCAGTCTCTTTCCCTCCTCTTCTTCCCATCCATTTGCTCAATCTCTTTCCCTCCTCTTCTTTCCATCCATTTTCTCAATCTCTTTCCCTCCTCTTCTTCCCATCCATTTTCTCGATCTCTTTCCCTCCTCTTCTTCCCATCCATTTTCTCAGTCTCTTTCCCTCCTCTTCTTCCCATCCACTTGCTCAATCTCTTTCCCTCCTCTTCTTTCCATCCATTTTCTCAATCTCTTTCCCTCCTCTTCTTCCCATCCATGTTCTCAATCTCTTTCCCTCCTCTTCTTACCATCCATTTTCTCAATCTCTTTCCCTCCTCTTCTTCCCATCCATTTTTTCAGTCTCTTTCCCTCCTCTTCTTCCCATTCATTTTCTCAGTCTCTTTCCCTCCTCTTCTTCCCATCCATTTTCTCAATCTCTTTCCCTCCTCTTCTTCCCATCCATTTTCTCAGTCTCTTTCCCTCCTCTTCTTCCCATCCATTTGCTCAATCTCTTTCCCTCCTCTTCTTTCCATCCATTTTCTCAATCTCTTTCCCTCCTCTTCTTCCCATACATGTTCTCAATCTCTTTCCCTCCTCTTCTTCCCATCCATTTTCTCAATCTCTTTCCCTCCTCTTCTTCCCATCCATTTTCTTAGTCTCTTTCCCTCCTCTTCTTCCCATCCATTTGCTCAATCTCTTTCCCACCTCTTCTTTCCATCCATTTTCTCAATCTCTTTCCCTCCTCTTCTTCCCATCCATGTTCTCAATCTCTTTCCCTCCTCTTCTTCCCATCCATTTTCTCAATCTCTTTCCCTCCTCTTCTTCCCATCCATTTTCTCAGTCTCTTTCCCTCCTCTTCTTCCCATCTATTTGCTCAATCTCTTTCCCTCCTCTTCTTCCCATCCATTTTCTCAATCTCTTTCCCTCCTCTTCTTCCCATCCATTTTCTCAGTCTCTTTCCCTCCTCTTCTTCCCATCCATTTGCTCAATCTCTTTCCCTCCTCTTCTTTCCATCCGTTTTCTCAATCTCTTTCCCTCCTCTTCTTCCCATCCGTGTTCTCAATCTCTTTCCCTCCTCTTCTTCCCATCCATTTTCTCAATCTCTTTCCCTCCTCTTTTTCCCATCCATTTTCTCAGTCTCTTTCCCTCATCTTCTTCCCATCCATTTGCTCAATCTTTTTCCCTCCTCTTCTTTCCATCCATTTTCTTTATCTCTTTCCCTCCTCTTCTTCCCATCCATGTTCTCAATCTCTTTCCCTCCTCTTCTTCCCATCCATTTTCTCAATCTCTTTCCCTCCTCTTCTTCCCATCCATTTTCTCAGTCTCTTTCCCTCCTCTTCTTCCCATCCATTTTCTCAATCTCTTTCCCTCCTCTTCTTCCCATCCATTTTCTCAGTCTCTTTCCCTCCTCTTCTTCCCATCCATTTGCTCAATCTCTTTCCCTGCTCTTCTTCCCATCCATGTGCTCAGTCTCTTTCCCTCTCACGCATGTGTGCCTCTTCTTCCCATACCCTCCCAAGCCCCCATGTCCTGTCCAGATCTCCGTTCCATGTCAGTACCAATAATTTCTTCTTGCCATTCTTTTCTCCTCCCGCAGAAGCGAGTGGGACCAAGATCCAAAGTCATCTCTTATCTTGGTGTTCTCTTCGTACTTCTCCCATCTAATCTCCCTCAGAGGCGCGTGGGTCCAAGATTTGAAGTCATCCCTTGGTGTTCCCTTCGTACCACTCCCGTCTAATCTCCTTCAGAGGCGTGTGGGACCAAGATCTGCGATCCCACGACAGACTGTGTGAGGGACGCTGCAGGCGGTGCAACCTGTGTGTGCAAGGCGGGCTATCAGAGCATCTCCGGCAAATGTGTTGGTACGTGATGGTGCAGTCTTTTTTAGTCCACTCAAAATAGGCTATCAGAGCACCTCCGGCAAATGTGTCAGTACGGCCAGGTCATATTAGAGGTGTAATCTGGTAAGGCGTTCATTCGTGTGCGTGTGCGTGTGTTTGTTCGTCTTTGTGCTGCGGCATTCATGTTGGTGTAGGGGTGTCGGTCAACTCGGATGTCGCGCTGGTGTTTTGTCGAGAGCTCTGTGCTCCTCTGCTGCTCCATGTTGGTGTTTGTTGTTCCATCTTGTGCTATAATGTGCTTTGCTAGTGTGTTGTGATGTGATGTTTCACCTTTTGCACTCTTCCTCATCTCTTCTCCTTCCCCGCCTCCCCACGCCTCGTCACATGTGGTGACTGCCCTACACGAGCCACCTGCACCGTTTCTTTGTTTTTTTGTCGTGCTGTGTCGTGAATATTGGTTTTCTCCCTTTTCCTTATCTAGTCTCTTTCTTTCGTCTCCTTGCTCCTCCTCATCTCCTCCCTTTCTTAATCTCCTCCCTCTTCCCACCTCCCCAGGCCCTACCACATGTGGGAGCTGCCCTACAGGAGCCACATGCACGGTTACTTCTAGCAATGTGCCGTACTGCATCTGTCCTCCCGGCTATGGCATGGGTTACTCGTCTTGCATCAGCGGTAAGGTCATGTCTCTAAATCATGGCACGTGCTTCTCATAATGGCAGGGGCTTCCAATAATGGCAGGGGCTTCCAATAATGGCATGGAATTCCAACAATGGCATGGGCTTTCACATTTGGCATGTCCTTTCAATTGTGGCATAGCCTTCTGACTGTGGCATGTCCTTTCTTCAAACTGTGGCATGTCCTTTCTTCCGACTGTGGCATATCCTTTTGTGACATGTCTATCCAATTGTGGCATGTCTTTCGAACTGTCCAATTGTGGCATATCATTTTGTGGCATGTCTTTCCGATTGTGGCATGTCTATCCAACTGTGGCATGTCTATCCAATTGTGGCATGTCGATCTAATTGTGGATGTCTATCCAATTGTGGCATGTCTGTCTACCCAATTGTGGCATGTCTATCTAGTTGTGGCATGTCTATCCGATTGTGGCATGTCTTTCCCATTGCGGCATGTCTATCAATTGTAGCATGTCTTTCCAAATGTGGCATGTCTATCCAATTGTGGCATGTGCGGAGAGTTACCTTTACATCGAAAACATGACTACGGAGGAAGGCAGGGGTTCTAGGAGTGATCGTAGCGTTCTTTAGTGTTCTCTAGCACTTGCGCGTTTACAGGGCAAAACCGCGAAGTTTTACTTGGAAAAGTTGAGAACATTAATGGTAGTTACAGTGGCAAAGCTGACTACATCAGAAGTAAGTCTGCTTAGCATGCAAGCAAGTCGACTTCCAGCGTAGCAAGGTTGACCGCGTTCCAGCACTGCAAAGTCCCCACCGCTCCAGCGCTGCAAAAAGGAGGCTTGCCAACACTGCAAGTCGACGGCGTGCCAACGGTGCAGCAAGGCTGTCTAGCCTTGCTCCCGCGGATGACAGCAGCGCACCTACTTCGCAGGTGCTCGTAGTCGGTTGGCGCAACATGCACCGTTACGTGCATAGTGCAGGTGACAAATCGGTCACGTGCCGTTGGCAGCGCCTAATGAGCCACGTCGACATCGGATCGGGGTACCACTCTGAGGTCGGTTTCGCCAGAACCACCTGGGCGACGGTCGCACGCCCCGCAAAACCTCGTCGCCTTGGTTACATGGTCGACCTGGAAACCACCAGATCAGCGTCCACTTGCTCGGTAGAAATTGACCTACAGTTGTACGTGCTTGTCGACCACCCAGGTGGACGGCCACCAGCCGATTTCACCAAGTCAACCACTCCACAAGTCGACCAACTCCGGGGCGACCAGACTGGCTGCTCGCCAACTGCACCGAGTCACCTTCCCCATGTCGGCGTTACCAAGTCGACGCCCCTCTCTGGTCGACGACTCCCTTCGTCGACTACCGGGTTGAAGTTGGCCGCCGGCCCTCGTCGTCGGCGGCTTCGCACTGGCCTCGTGCAGGTCGACTAACTCTGTCGACCTGCTCGCCCAAGTCGGCGTCGTCCACTGCAGTCAGTCAGCTGCACTTATCGCGCACCCGACCACAAAGTCGGCTCTGTCCAAGTGAGGACGAGGCCAACACCCAACTCCCGTTAACAGCATGTCTATCGAATTATGGCATGCTACTCAAGTATTCGCCCCAATGCCTCCTCCACCAGTATCACCTTCTACGATTAGCCCAACTACACCATCACGTCCAACATCTTCACCATGCGTGTGTATAAATCAGCTGTCTTCCTCATATCTCCCTCCCCTTGCAGGCGCCACCCCCACTGCCTCCTCCAGCAGCATCACCTTCTACGATCAGACCAACCACACCATCACTCCCACCACCTACACCGTGCGCCTGCCATACAACTCCTGCAGAAGCATCCCTGCAGCCGTTGCCGAGCGCGCCTTGTCTCTCTGGCGTGTGAATGGGGTTCCGGGTGGTGCGGGCAACTGTGCATCGGTGTATGGTTACACTCGGGAGAGCTGCCAGGGGCCTCCCACGTGGCTGCCTCTTGCCTCGAATGGGACCGGAATCATTGCAGAAGGAGTCATGTGAGTGTGGGGGAATCACAGCGTTTGTTGAGTTTACTGACTCAGAGGTCACTGCGACTCGGTGTATGGTTACACTCGGGATAGCTGCCAGGGGCCTGCCACGTGGCTGCCAATCGCTTCCAATGGGACCTGGATCACCGCAACGGGGTCAAGGTGAGTCATGGCTTCTATGATTGGCCCCCTCGTTACACCCCGCCCCAATTCCTGTGCGGGCATGTCTCCCATGCCCACACCACCAACTCCTCTTCGTTGAGATTGCATTACTTCTCAAATGGTCCTACATTAGGTAAATAGCATGTTATATAACATTCCTTCTCTGTCTCTCCCCTTCCCCATGCACGTTTTCTCCTCTCCCCCTCTGCCCCTCTGGCTTGCCCCCAATGCCTATTTGTGCATGTCTCTCCCACCCCATCCACCAGTGACTATTCTCCAGTGGGGTCGTACCCTTACCACTCCTTCAGCTGTGTCCCTGTCGGTGAGTGTTGTGGTGTTGGCGGGTAATGCGGTGCTGCTGTGACGGTGAGCGAGTAATGCAGTACTGCTGTATTGGTGGGTGCATGTCTCCCCCACCCCACCCATCAGCGACAACTCTCCAGTGGGGTCGTACCCTTACCACTCCTTCAGCTGTGTCCCCATTGGTAAGTGCCAACAGTGTTTCTGAGTAATATGCTGCTGCTTTGATGGGTGCCGCTGTGATGGCTATTGAGGCGTCTTAAAAATCTCCCACCCACCCCAACCACCAGCAACAACTACTCTCCTGTGGGGTCGTACCCTTACCACTCCCTCAGCTGTGTCCCTGTTGGTAATTATTTTGGTGTGGTGTTGGCGAGTAATGAGGTGCTGCTGGCCTTACAACCCCCTCTCCCCTTTCCCGTTCCGTTCATGCATAACCACCCTCCCAGGTCCCTGTGTGGTGAAGGTCTGGGGCGCCAACAGCACATGCGTTGTGAACAGCAGTGGGGTAGCATCTTGTGTCCCTTCCCACACTCCCTCCTCTTTCACACTCGCCTAACTTCCCTCCATCACCCCCTTCCCTCCCAGGTCCCTGTGCGGTCAAGGCCTGCAGCGCCAACAGCACGTGCGTTGTGAACAGCGGTGGAGTGGCGGCCTGTGTGTGTGATGCAGGCTTCGTGCTGCAGGCCAATGGCAGGACGTGCATTGGTGGGTGCAATGCCTAGTGAAATTCCATGTTCCATGTTATGGGTTGCCCTCACACAGAGCACTGCAGGTGTGGCGTCCTGTGTGTGTGACTCTGACTTCGTGTGCTGCCATGTGTTGCTGTGTGCATGCTCTTTCATGTGCTGCTTTGTTCTTCCCCTTGCATCAGAAATTGCCATAACTTTTGAAGCATCAAACAAAACTCCAACCTTCCACGCACCCACCCTTCCACGCCTTCCCCACTTGCAGAGCCGTGCTCTATCTGTGACGGCAACCATGCATGTGTGAAGGACGCTGCTTTTTTATAACTGACTCAAAAGCCCCTTACTTCGTCCCCCCCTCTCTCACACCTCCCCCCTGCAGAGCCGTGCTCTATCTGTGACGGCAACCATGCATGTGTGAAGGACGTTGCGGGTGCAGTGACCTGTGTGTGCAAATACGAGGTGGTGGGCGACAAGTGTGTTGGTACGTGATACTCACCTCTCACCTCTCACCACTTCTCACCTCTCACCACTTCCCACCTCTCTCCACTTCTCACCTCTCACCACTTCTTACCTCTCACCACTTCTCACCTCTCACCACTTCTCACCTCTCTCCGCTTATCACCTCTCACCGCTTCTCACCTCTCACCGCTTCTCACCTCTCTCCACTTATCACCTCTCACCGCTTCTCACCTCTCACCGCTTCTCACCTCTCACCACTTCTCACCTCTCACCACTTCTCACCTCTCTCCACTTCTCACCTCTCACCGCTTCTCACCTCTCACCACTTCTCACCTCTTACCACTTATCACCTCTCACCGCTTTTCACCTCTCACCACTTCTCACCTCTCACCACTTCTCACCTCTCTCCACTTATCACCTCTCACCGCTTCTCACCTCTCACCGCTTCTCACCTCTCACCACTTCTCACCTCTCACCACTTCTCACCTCTCTCCACTTCTCACCTCTCACCGCTTCTCACCTCTCACCACTTCTCACCTCTTACCACTTATCACCTCTCACCACTTCTCACCTCTCACCACTTCTCACCTCTCACCACTTCTCACCTCTCACCGCTTCTCACCTCTCACCACTTCTCACCTCTCACCACTTCTCACCTCTCTCCACTCTCACCTCTCACCACTTCTCACCTCTTACCACTTCTCACCTCTCACCACTTCTCACCTCTCACCACTTCTCACCTCTCTCCACTTCTCACCTCTCACCACTTCTCACCTCTCACCACTTCTCACCTCTCACCACTTCTCACCTCTCACCGCTTCTCACCTCTCACCACTTCTCACCTCTCTCCACTTCTCACCTCTCACCACTTCCCACCTCTCACCACTTCTCACCTCTCGGCACGTGATTCTCACCTCTCTGGCCCTGTCTGCTGTATTATTGTCAGCTCACAACACCCCCCCCCCCCCCCTTCCCCCCCACCGGTCCTCTTGCCCTCCTCATGCCCTGCAGGGCCCACTCGACAGTCTGCTCTCGAATGACTGCTCTGGCCTACCGCACATACAGCACCACATCGTCAGCTCACCCCACATGATCCCCCCCTCTCTCCCCCGCTCCTCCTGCCTCCCCACAGGCACCACCACGTGTGGGGCATGCCCTGCAGGTGCCACTTGATAGTCTGCTCTCTCCGAGTGTGCTGCACACTACCAGTGCTGCACTCTAACGCCCCCTTTTCCTCCCTGTTTCCTGCTCCTCCTCCCCTCCCCACAGGACC